ATTTGTCTATGCTGAGGAAGTTGCTTTTGTAGTTGGAAATGTAATTCAATGTTGATGATAATTCTATCTATAAATTATTCTTAGAGTTGTTTATGCTGGAAATTTTCCATTAGATGCGGAAAAAGTTTTCAAATTGTTTTGGATGTTTTTAATTAAATGATAAAAAATCGCATTAAGAAGCTCTTGTTGAGGTTCGACTTCTAAGATTCATCTTCGATTGAATGGTAATCAAAACCAGTGTTGTTCAAACTGTGTGCCACGGCACATTGGTGTTGTATAGAATTTTTTGAAAATGACACGAGACGCATGCTGTGTGTGATTTCGACCCCCCCTCTCCTTTCCCTAAGATAAATCGTGGCTCAAATAGTTTGGACAACACTGATTTACACTAGGACCTTCTTCAAGACTTCTTCAAAGCTCAGCTAGTTAATCGAACTCAATAACAGAGAATATCGTACAAAAAACACGCTCAACAGTCCATTAGTCTAAAATTGAAGCAGCTATATATATTGCAGGCCCAAAAACTGTTTAAATCTCTTCCTTCTACTAATACCTGGCTAGACTTTGCGTTGAATGGTTTCTGAATCCCTTGGTTCCTAATTAACCTCTTCTTTCCACTGCATCTATCTAAAACGTACGTTTGGTATCTAAACAATAGATTATTTGGACCAGATGGAGCCTGCCAAGGACATCCATTCAACAATATTGTTCTAATGACAATGTTTGTCCGAACAAATATTTTTTTCATTGATGACAAAAATTATTACAAATTCCAAACTTTTCCACTCAAAATGCCTTTTGCTGAAGAAAAGAAGAATCGAAACGTTTGCATGCAAATGAGAACTAAATAGAAAACTTTTTCATACTTAATTTACATCTTATGAGAATTTCTATTATTTTTTTTGAACCCTCGAATGCCAAACAAAATGTTTTGGCATTCTTAAAATTCTACACATGTAAGGACTTGCTGTATAACAACATAAGAATTCAAACAACAAAAGTACTTTGACCAGTATCTTCGATTCGGATCTCTTTCATCGACCAAAAGGCAATTTTCACCAAATGTTCAGCTATAGCTTTTTACATATTCTCACGCAATGTTCCTTACTGCTCAAGGTTCTATTTTCTATTTTTAACTTCCGGCTTTTCTTCTTGCCTATTTTTAGCCAATAAAAAATCGAACTTGTGAAAATTTTCTTTCCTTTTCTGACATTCCATTTCACTTCCTGTCTTCTCCTTTATTGGAACGATAAGAATTCAAAGCATTAAGCTCACCATTTAATGATGCCATTTCTGTCTTTGAATCTCTTGTCCATTTAATTGTGATAATAATTTAAGGGGGAAATGTAAGGAATAAAAAAAATAAATGGAGGGTCTGCTTTTGCTACAATGGCTGCATTCGGCTTTATTTTCGCATGACGAAGGTCAAATTCTGTCATTGGATTACTAAAACTGTGAATTTTATTGATCTATAAAGTGAAATATTTAATTTTTCGTGTCTGTATCAGGTTGTGAATGGAGTTGAGGTTTGGATCGGTCTATTTTGTGTAGAAAATTTTGTTTTTGTACTTGAGTAAACAGTTAAGTGCTTCTGTAGAATTACAAGCATGGCAGTTCACACTAATTTGGTCCTGTCATTTTCAAAATTTTGCTTTTTCAGAAATTTAAATATTTCGACTGCTTATTTTACAATGTTGAGACGAAGTTGAAACTCTGGACAACGTTGAATTAAGCACACCCCTTATAAAAAAATTCCAATTGATACCACGACCCCCAGGAAAAATTAATGAACGATAAAAGTCCCAAAAATTCCCTCACGTTACTTCATCATGATTGTTTTCATTTAATATTATTCATCTTTAATGCCGTTGTACGCAGTCCTGTTGAAAATAGATTAAAACAATGTTGATGAAAGACTTATGAAGGTCTAAATTTTTATGGACATAACAGTAAGCAGGTAGCATGCACAACATATTAATATTTTTTATTATTCTTCAAAATTCTATGGAAGTTCATAAATAAAAAGTAAGAGCTCAAGTTATTCTCATCTCAAACGAAAAAAAGGTCATCAGTAGGTATTATAGCATGTGGTTAAAAATCAGGAAGTATGGAATCGACCTTTTATTCATTTAGAATTTTTTTTAATGGATTATAAATTCAGACTGAGTGTGTGTTTGTGTATATTATGCTGATATGTACGCACTAGATATCTCAAGGATAAGAATGAATCCTGAATTTTAAATGAGAATGGTCTAAAAATAGACTCAGATGAGACTTAATTCCATAAGTTAAAAATTGTGTTTTGGGAACTGAGAAACAGAAAATTTAATTCGGAATAGTTTAATTGATGGTTTATTTATAGTATGAGACTGTTACAAGCTTTACTAGCAGGAAAATAGCTGATCGATTTTTTTAAAAGTTTTAATTTTTATTTAAATCAAATTTTAAAGTTTTAACATGATTTTTGAATATTCTTAGTTTATGAACTTTTTATTCTTTTAAATTTTTTTTTTATTTTTTTATTTGTATTATTTTTTAAATTTTTTGAATCTTGATTTTTTTTATTATTGATTTCTTTTCTGAATTTTTTATTTTTAAATTTTCGTATTTTTTGGAAAATTATATTTTGAAATAGATTTAAAGATTGATTTTCAAAATATGGGCAAATCTACGAAAGACTTTTTTGTCAAAAAATCAATTTATGTGCTCTTATTATTTAAAATAATGGGTTAATTAAAGAGATATTTGCAAAAAATAGCGTTTTACTGTCAACATTACAACCTTTTATTGCAAAACGCAACTTAATTTTAAACTGAAAATTTTGTTAAAATTTATCAATACTCAAAATATATTTAATCAAATATGTACATTTAATGCTGAAAACAATTTTAAAGTCTTTAATTTACAATTTGTTGATGTTTTTAAAAGGTGAATTAATGTAAAAAGGGAATTAAACCCAATTTCATTTAAAATTTAACGTTTTTTTTGAATTTTTCAAGTTGAGAAAAATTTCAAGTCGATTTTTACAGAACCGTTTACTCATAGATTTGCCCATATCAAAATTTTCCTTTTTTTGTTGTTAAAAATATTATTTTTTCGCATTTTCAAACTCTTTTTCATTCCTTCATAAATCACAAAAAAAAAACATAAAAATTCACTTCGATTCATTCATGCAGAATAACAAGAAATATTGCTTTAAAAAAACATCAAAAAAATTCCTTTTATAAATCATAAAAAATTCACATAAAGATTTCAACATGAATAAATTCATTCCATCTTCTACTGATTAAAGATAAAATCCATCTTGTGCATGATATTTTTGAAAAAAAAAAATTAAAAAAGAAATTAAATCACATATGCATATGAAATTCTATAAGGATAAGCCAAAAAAGGAATTTTCAAAGAACATATTATGGTTTTGAAAGCTTGAAAATGAAAGAAAAAAAAATAATAATTTGATGAAAATCTTTTTTGCTTTGATTCATTTGAAAGCAAAAATTCATTTAATGTTAAGATTTGTGGAATAATTTTAAAATTTTTCTAAGATATGTTCGAGATTCATTGATTGAACAAGTCAAATACACGTGTTGCTAAAAAATTATTACTAGAATTTTTGAGGTTATTTATGGATTTAGAAGGGGCAAGTGGAAAATCAAGAAACAGTTTAATTAAATTTGTAAGAACACCCCCACAGTGATAGCTAGCTACACTACTATAGTGTGCACCATGTTGTAAAATTAACCAGTTTTTACAAAAAAATAAAATAAACCAACTTTTAAAAAAATATTCTCTTCTATTTTGCTCTTTCTGTGTTGCAAAAAAAAAGCATCTGAAATGATGGAAAATATTTCTTTCTGCATGGGATCGTACACTAATGCCGTCTAAAATTAAGAATAAATTTCCAAACAAAAAAATCATTTCAAAAGTTTTCCGAACCTTGAAAATGTCTCTGTTAAACATCACTAACGAACAACCCCCTTCGTATATTTACCTTTTTTCACCTCTTTCCGGACTCGCTTGCTGATGCTTTATTTTCAGTTTTTCATTCTCTTTCTGATTTTTACTGTATTTGCCCCAGAGATAAAAATTCAGTTTCATGTTTTTTATACGCTGTACGTTTTCTCTTTGAACTTGTTCATGATGCTGATGATGCTTTTGCTGTGTTACCAATTAAAATTAAAATTGTTATGCTATTCTTGCTCTCTCTTTGTATCGATTTACAGTGCTTTTGTGTTGTTACCCTTTTTCTTCTTGAAATGATTGTAAAGAAATATGTGCAATTGTAGTGGATATGCTTTTGTGAAATTTAAGGTACAAGGATGTGTTAAAGATAGCTTTAAGATTTTTATTTATATTATAAAGATGACTCGCAATGGATTGAATTTCTACTTGCTTAAAGCTTAATGTGATTAACACAAACGCGTAGCTGAGAAAGGATTTGTAAGAGGGAGGGGGGGGGGCAGGAAAAAATATCCTAAAGTTCTTCCACCTCCCGTCCCCCTCCCTATCTTAGATTTTTCCATGCAAAAAATGACCCCCCCCCCCTTCTTGAACTCCTCGGTACGCCTCTGAAGCATTATAAGCGTCGCAAAAATATTTTAATTTGAGGAGGGAGGGGGGGGGGGGCAGGTATTTTTGTATTTTGTCCTCAATTTCTTTTTGCAAATTGAATAATTTTTCCAAAATTTTTGTTGTCCTAAATCTTATGAAGATATCCATTTTCAACACAAAACCTGAGATTTTTGCAAATGCAGATTCAAATATTTGCTTGAAACTCAAAACTTTTCCTTTGACAGCTATACAAATACAGGATAAAAATACTGGTGTATTTGAATTTGCAGAAGAAGTTCTTTAAAAAAGAAAATTCAAAGCTCTCACTTTTAAATTGAGCTATAGAGCTTCTAAAAATATTTTACTTTAATGATTTTTTGAAACATTTTCTAAATATTTTGGTAAAATTTATTTAAATTTTTGCATATTTTTCACATGTTACATTTTTTTTACAGTTCCTACAACTTAGCAAAAAACTTAGAAAATTCACATCAAGCCCTAAAAACTTCTAATTCAATTTTTCAAAAAATTACATTTTCATCTAATAAATTTCATGTCCGATAACGTCATATTCACATTTAACCTAAACCTAAATTTATCAACCTATTTAATAGATTTTTATGTTAACATAAATGTAGCAGACGTTGATACATACAGAAAATTTGTATGTACATTAAACTTTTTCTTTTCTATCAGCAAATTATTCTCGTCTCCTATTCATCTTATGTACAACGTCCTCTGCATCGTTTACGTCTTGTCAATTCTCCACAGCTTTGCCCGTTATTTTGTGGCTCTATAAATTAATTAAATATGGCATTAAATTGAGGTTAAATTAGGATTAGTTTTACATCCTATAAGGATAATAGCAATGCACATCATTCTATAGTTTGTCTTGTATTATATGTCTATGTGGAACTGTAAATTTTTACATCCAACTCAATTTATTAGGTCATTTGGGAATTTTGGTGTCGAATTTGGGTCAGTTAAGATTGAGACGTTTTCTATTTTTAAAGGAAAATTCTCAGAGAGAGTGGGTTTAGCTTCAAACTAGATTGATCTATTCTCGACAAGTTCGAAGTTTAGAAGATCATTCATTTTAGTGTAATTAACAAATGATTACAAAAAATTTCCATTAAGAAAGGGTTTATCATTTAACGGTTTTTTTAAATTCAAATTTTACAACGGCTAGAAAAAATTTGAAATTATAGAGGTAATGTTGAATTTTTTTAAACGTCCTCATCACGTGGTTTTGTTTATGAAATAAAAAAAATCATTAATTATAGTATAAATACACTGTTTCAAGACTTTTACAAAAATTTTTTTTACAAAAAATTTCCATAAAGAAAGGGTTTATCATTTAACGGTTTTTTTAAATTCAAATTTTACAACGGCTAGAAAAAATTTGAAATTATAGAGGTAATGTTGAATTTTTTTAAACGTCCTCATCACGTGGTTTTGTTTATGAAATAAAAAAATCATTAATTATAGTATAAATACACTGTTTTAAGACTTTTAACTGTTCGATCGGATAATAAACAATCGTAACAGAGCTAATAAAACAAACCTGAGCTCTCTATGATGTCTGGTTAAAAAATTTTTCTTCGCCCGAACGAACGAACGAACATTTCGCATTAGTAAGCTCCCTTTTTGTATACAAGTATACAAAAATGCGCTAAAAACTACAACACTAGTTTCTACTAGACGCACATTAACAATAACTTAACAGTTCCAATGGAACTTTAAACTCTATAATCAATGAACTATATCCTCAAGTATGTCTAACCAAACCCAACTGAAACCACAACTCTTAAAAAATACATTACCTCTTATTACTTCTCTAGTCCTTGTCGATACACCAACTTGATCTATAGTTACAATAAAAACACAAAATCAATATTTACATTAAAGCCAGCACACATCAAGGATGTGTTCATACATGTGTAAAAAGATAACAAAGGCTTACCACATTCAGCTGAACATGTGGACCATTCAGACCATTCAGAAAGAAGACAATCAACAGGCTGACCATCAGAAGTACCTTCAGTAGTTTGATAATCATTTCTTATTGTTGTGGTGTAAATTCTAGCAGATGCAGCAGGAAGTGTCTGTTGTTGTCTAGATTGTGGTCGATTTGATGAAACCGTGTTTCTAATGATGCCACAAGTACTCAGGCAAACGTCTCTGGTTAAAAAGTTATTTTGATTTCCGCGACATCCTCCGTACTCGAATTCTTCGCAATCTTGCTTGTTGGGGTTGTAAAAGAATCTTTTGTACGATCCACGACATGCTCCATTATCAGATGGTAAATTACAAACAGTACGTGCCGACTCGAAGTCAAGTGTACAGTCCTGACGTGTTGAACATTCGCGCTGTTGATTCAGTTCCTTGCCTCTTGCCATACATTCTGCCTTTTTATTAGGCTCGACAAGCAACAAGCGTGTACGAATTTGTACACCTTTACCGCATGTCGTACTGCACGGTGACCAATCTGACCAAGCAGCGACTGGACAATTAGAGTCAGGAATCTCCAAATCTGTTATTTTACAGTCAGGCATCATACATTTTGTCTTCTCAACTTTTTGACACAATTTTCAGTTTCAATAATAATCAGATGATAATGAGGAGATTGAATGTTGGACATTTGTATCCGATAAAATAAATGTTGACATAGGATGATTGATTGATTGATTGTGAAATGTGAAAGACGAAAGAAAAGCAAATAAAAATCGAGAGAAAAACATAAATCATTTTAACGCTTACCAATGGAAATGTGTGGACATTTCTTTCGACCAGATCGATCAACAAATGTTCTAGTTCTCATACTTATACCGACACCACATGTTGCTGAGTGAAAATATATGAAAGGATTTTTAGTGTTTATTGATGATTTAATGTTTAGTAATCGATATTCAGTGAGGAAGAAAAGTTCAGGGTTATGGAAATGGTAGGGGCTTCAACTAAGCTGGAAGATAGACTCTTGCTGCTGACCGTTCGTGATACTACCTGTTGATCTTTCGGTGTTCTTGTTAGCTTGTCTGTCTTTTCATTAGTATTATTCATTATGTCTGTCTGTCTATAAGCTTGTTGGTCTGTCCGTCCATTAGCTAATAACTTGTCTAATCTAATAGCTTGTCTTTCTTTCTTTGGCTATCCATTAGTTTTTCTTTCTATCAGTCTGGATTTTTATTAACTTTTCAGTCTGTAAAGTAGTTCATCCTTCAATCTAGTCTTCTGTGAGTCTACATATCCATCTATAAATGCCTCAATATACGTAATTTTTAATAACAAAGTCACCAACCTGAACATTCACTCCAATCTGTCCATTGAGTCGTACGACAAAGTCCCAAACCCTCTCCTTGCTCATTAACAGTGGCTTGCGATTCAGCTAGATTCTCCGAGCTATCCTCTCCATCCTTACCACATTCTGGTATAGCGGCTACGCACATCTCTTTGTATATTAATTGACGATTACAACCCTTTTCTGTTGCACTTTGTGGATTACGATAACGACGACTACGTTCACGTAAGCCTTTACCACATGTCACTGAGCATGGTGACCAAGCGGAAAACTCACTGACCTCACATTCCGCTTGATAGGATAAAATAAAAAAAATATATAGTTTCTATTTTTAGGCAGAAATAAATCCATGATTGTATGTTACAATAGAAAAAAAAGTATTAAAAGACATATGCACACAAGTGGGATGGAAACACAAGAGAAAAAGATTAAATTTTCGATTCACATCCAATGAGTCCCTTTTGATGCGGAAATTTCTCACATATAAAGGATAAATGTGACTTTTTCATGCTAATTTGGATATTACTTTTTGAGTGACATTAAGTGTACTAAGAAGAAGTGGACATTGAATTGAATGAAGGATTAGGATTGCTTTTAGAATAGGTCAATTGATTTTTCTGGTGACTTTGCGATTCGTTTCTAGGTAGGATGAATTTTATGTGCATTTTGGGCGTTCTAGTATTCTATGATAGGCTTTATAGAGTTTCTGATGCTTTGAAAAAAATCATAACACATTAAAAATGTCACGAAAAACTGAATCGAGGACCAAAGTAATCAGAAAATTAAATTGTCACTTTTGTGTGACTTAAAGCAAGGAACCATACAGCAATTTCAAGAATACAAAGAATTTTCACGCAACTCGCGGCTATGTAACCTGTATATCCTGCTCAAAACAACGTGAATTGTTAAAATAGTCAACAAAACAATCTAACTTTGAGTGCTAGCATCTCCAAACTATTGCGATAGACCAAAGAATTCATGAACTACAAAAAAAATTTCCAAATTTTCTCGTTGAAACGTGCAAAAATTTCCACAACAACCAAAAAAATTCTCAATTATCAATGACTGCCTTTTTCTACATCCAGTTAAAAATTTTCAATTTTACATTCCATAAATTTCTATACTCACGTATACTGTTCGACTCATTGTCATCGTTCTCGGAAACCTCAACGATTTGTGCTTGCAATAATTCCTCGTCGCAATTTCTCGTTATAACCTTTTCACGTCGAATATACAGTTTTGCTAGCGGTGTCATTTTATCACTATTCGGATTGTAAAATGGTGCTCGAGGATCTTCAGGATATTTCGTTGTTATTTTGTGCATTCGTTCGCGCGGTTGTGTTTCTGCATTTGGTGACATGTATGAGATTCCACTATCAGTACCAGAATCCCAAGGATATAAATCGATATCGTGTGAGGCTTCCCACGTACAGTCTTTACGACAAAGGTTCAATCCGCTGACACCTTATTGAATTTAATGAGACATCAAAAATAAGCAATATATATTGGATGTGTGCATAAAAAATTTATATATTTTATGATTATCGTAACATACCGACTACCCAATCAGGGGACGGTCCGAACATCGATACTAATGATACTTTATGATGTTTACGATCGACACGGAAATGCGACGATGTGTTTGCATTAACATTTGGAAACCATAATCCACCCGCTTTCACTAATGTACGTAGGCGTGAACCTTTTGCTCGCAATTCTTCTTCAAGTGCCCTTGGTGATCCCCTATGTGTGGATATAAAATACTTTTTATTGCCAAAGCTCGCTTTTGTTATGAAATTTTTATGTTTTTGGAGGATTTTTTTAAGAAACATTTTATGGGGTGAATATCTTTTGATGGTCTTTTATTGAGAAGAGCTTTAGCTTGTTGACTGGATTTATTATGGATATAATTTTAAAAAGGAAATGTGAATTTGCCTTGAGAGTTGAATGCAACATCTGTAAGGGATGGTTTCTTATGTGCATTTAAGAATAGACTAAGACTTAGCTTAGGACAAGAGTTTTCAATGTTTTTAGACCTCGACATGCTTTTTGGAGGTAAAACAAGTATTCAAGACGCAAGAAAAGCATTTGGCGACACACTGATGCGTCAGTGCATTGTTTGAGAAGCACTGACCTAAAGTGCATCTGCGGCATACCTTTATCAGCTGTGTCTTTAATTTTTGATGGTATAGGGAAGGAATGTCTTAATTGACACTGAATATAACAATGTTTCCAAACTATCATCAACTACACATTCAATTTAAATCATTTCTATACCCTTAATCTCATGCAAGCAACTCACCATTCAGCCAACGACCGAAATCCGTCTGTTGCAATATGATTCTCACCCCAAAACGAGAAGTTTGCATCATGCGATGCACCAACAATGTCTGAAAAGTGTGTTAACCAAATCGCGAATGGATAATCCTTTGGGTGTGTCTCATTTGACCAAATTCCTTCAAACACGAACTGACATAAAAAGAAATTAATTTTTTTTTCCAAATAATATAATAAATGGTAAGACTTACGCTATACTTAGCTTCATCACATGCACAGCATTCATCATTAGCGAGCATTTTTTTCACCTTATCGACTTTTTCTTCACAAATAATTTTCGTGAGTCCACCAACATCCGAGTACCATGAGTCTTTGCCTTCATAAATCATTGCTGATAAACGTACACAGCCGGATCCTTTCGCTGGTGCTACCCACATTGTCTATCAAATAAAATTTTTTTACTCAATTTTGGATGCCTGTGCATAAATAGGATTTTCATGATATGATATATGTTTTGTTGATCTTTTTATTCTGTCTCATTTCCGTTCCTTTCATGTTGATATTAATTTTGATAAACATTTGTGTACATAAACACATGCCAAAGGACATAAAATTATCACTAATATGAATTTATGACTTGAATTATTACTCAAATATGATGGTAATGATCAAAGGATGTCTGAATATATTTTTCTATGAATTGTTTTTGTTTTGTTACTGTTTTTTGATGCAGAATGATTGCTTGCTTTGAGGACTGAGTGTATTTTTGGACTAAGAAGAATTTTTTGGGTATGTTTATGGAATAGGCAAGGTTAAGAAAAAGAGCATTTAAGAATTTCAAGGACATGCAGCACTTTAATAACAGCAACACTCCAAATCAGCAAGAACAACAAAAAAATTCAAATTTCCACCCCACCCTAAAGTTTAATTGCTCATATCTCCAATAATTATGTTAAATGACCTGTTGCTCAGCATTTTGTGAGCATTTTATGGAGCAGAAAATTTACATCCTCTTTAAATGACTTGACAAAAAGTTTTAAGAACAAAAACATCGTGTATTGACATAAACAATTAAAATCAAAAGTTTTCGTCGACCTTACAGCATGTCTATTTATAAATTTTTGTCTTTGTGACACGTGTTGCATAAATTATTGGGATGTAAAATGTGGAAGTGAAAATTTTTATGAAGCTTTTGAATTTTTATGGATAAGATTTGAATTTTGATGAGGTTATTTTTAAGGCATGATGGAATTGATGTTGGATTTGGTGATTTTGAACATGTTTTGGTGGGAATTCAGCTTGAGTTAAAGCCTGGAATATTAAGTGCAGCTTATTGTATTCTAAACTCAATTAAATTGCTCATAAACTTCTATAGTTAAGCTTCTATTAGTCACGGATTTAATACCAGTTTTATTTGTCAAAGCCAAAATTAACTTCAGTGATGCTGTGGCTCAGTGGCATAAGACTGGGTGGAGCTGGCTATTATGGTACTAAACTAACCATCATAGACTAAGTTCTTGGCGTAAAAACTTCACTATTTGAACAACTAGCTTGTCGCTGTTTGGAATTTGGAATTATATTCTGCACCCCCCCTCCCTCCATTACTTAAAACCAGAAAGTCACAAATCATGAACTTTTTCTCAGAAAGAAATTGAATATGATTCAAAACAACATCCAACAAGCTTTTCAATGTCACCGCCTTAAAGTTTTTTTGCTAAGATTTGCAATCTAATGTCAGAAATTCATTAAAAGTTTGTAAACATAAAATTATAGTTTGCTCTAATAAATTTCAAATCCTATCCTCAAATGCACATTTCTATTCAGTATTCAAACTCAAACTTGAACAATATTCCAAAATTAAGCTCAAAACACTCAGCGAAGTGTCAAAAGATTCAAATAAATTTATATGTAGCAACATTTCGTGAGAGAAAAACTTTTCCAATTTTCTCATTCAACTTCTGTTGTTGCTTGCTGTTGCTCGCGACATACGATTATGCAGCGAAAAAAAGAAAAAATTTATGTTCACCTTCTGCCGTTGTGATTTTAAAGTTCGCCAAATGAAAATGTTTTCGGTTGAAAATAGAAAATTGTGAGTTCTTTTGACAGGAAATTTGCTGCTTTTGTGACTGCATTTTTTGATGATAAATTGGAATTTAAATTTGAAGTTTATCATCAATGGCATTATTGTGCAAACTCTATGGGACCGTTCACTTATGACGTCATCAGGTGGGGATAGCAAGGAAAGAAGAATAGAAATTCCTGGAAATCCATTAGCAGCGAAAAAGCAGTAATTTCGTAGTGATTAGAGTGTTGGCCAACCAACCCCAACGACCCGAGTTCGATTCCAGATAATATACCTGGAAATCCATTGTTAATTTTTGAAAATTGACCGTTAATTTTGGACGTCATAAGTGAACGAGCCGTAATAAGGTTTATGAATATTTAATGATAGCAATCTGAAGATTTTTAGCATTCAAATAAGGACTGTTGAATTTGGAGGTGAAGATGAAGCATTCCTGGTTCCTAAATCTTCGCATTGCTCATCGAACTAAGCTACGTGCAACGCAAAAAGCTTGTTTTTCAAATGCGATTCAATTTTCTCATGGAATCAATCAACTTTGCTTCCCTCCATCCCCAAAAACAGGCAAACTCGAGCAGTGAATGGAAATAAAACAAAATGACATGAATTTTTTTTTTCTCTTCTTCCGTGAATCGCTCAGCTTTCATTGCTGTTTTGAAATCGACATCTTGTTGTTGTTACTCATGTGTTTATGACAATTTTTTTGTTGTTTCCATTTATGGCATAAGAGATGTGAATTTTCGGTAAACGAATTTACGGCATGCGGTAGCGAAATTGGATATGAAAATGTGAGAAAAACAAGAAACTCGAAGAAAAATTCTTCGAAATGTTTTTGATTTAACTTTTCCATCTCAATCTGCAGTTGACTTTACATCACACTCAAAGGTACTCTATTGAGTTACTTTACAACTGAATTAAATTAATATCGATTCCATCAATATTGACTTTAACTTTTTCATTCCATCAACTTCAAGTTTTTCTTTTTTTATTGGAAACTCAAACTTATATTCTATTGACCGATTTGTAGTTTAAATAAAAGGAAAGGAAGAGAACGATAGTTTGTAAGCGAGCTTGGGAAAGTGCTATGGACATTGAGAAGACAAGTTCTGTAAGTTTTACAAGAGAAGATGTTCAAAAGTCTTTATTGACATTGAAAGAGGTAATTAAGTTAGGAAAAGTTGCTCTGCTTGTTCTAGTAGCTTGAACAGAAAACTTTGAAAGACTTTCGTAGAGTTTTAGGATGTATTAAGGTGTTGTGGTTTGGGTGCATGCCTGAGTCTAATTAAATATGAGCCAGGCCTGATCGTTTCATTAAATATCGCTTAAATAAGAATACTACAATATACTTATGACTATTTTTCAAAGGAGATGGGCTCGATTCCCAGAGGAGGCTGATTGCTCAGTGTTGCTGCTGTTTAAAGCTACCCGGAGTAACCTACATTTTGGTTTAGTCATACCTAGTCATCCCTAGTCAACCTTAGTCAACCCTAGTCAACTCTAGTCAACTCTAGTCAACCCTAGTGAACCCTAGTCAGCCCTAGTCAACTCTAGTCAACCTTAGTCAACCCTAGTCAACCCTAGTCATCCCTAGTCAACCCTAGTCAACCCTAGTCATCCCTAGTCAACCCTAGTCAACCCTAGTCAACCCTAGTCAGCTCTAGTTAAATTTAATCAGTCATATTTACATTCAAGACCCTAAAAACCGACCTAATTAGACGCAACATAACTACAACCACATCAACAACTCACCTGAACTTCAGTCTTTGGAAAATCATCAGCCTCAGACACTGTATTCACACAACTCTCATAAAACTTAGTCAATGCATCGCCAAAAAGCTGAAAACGACCAACACGCTTCGGACCGGCAACAGTTGTTCGATTTGTTTCAATATTTATAGCGTCTGCTGTTATCATAAAGTGAGTAAATTGCTGCAACTGTAAGTAATCTCGTGAGCCGACTAAAAATACTGAAAAATACGAGAGTAGAAATAAATATTAATAGTATAAAATTGAGAGATTTGTGAGGAGAGCATTGAAGATTTATGAGCAGAATTTTTATTTTAATGAGACTTTCTAGATGAGTTTTATTTTTGCACAATTTAAGTTATTAGTGTATGTGATTATGTGATTGTTTTGGCCTTTTATGTGGGGCATGTGATGATTAATTTTGAAATAGGTATATGATGAGCTATTGACATTTGGGGAGATTTTTTTAATGCATTTGCTGTGGATTTGGACAACAGCTGATGGGGTGCCTTAAAGACCCCGTGACGGTTCATTTTGGTAGCTTAATTGTAGCTATTCTTATTCTGCCCCCAATATATAACCAAATTCACAGCCGTTCATTAAAATGCGCTCTAATCCATAAACTATTGTAACTTTCCAACTTGTTCTCACTTATCACTGAATAATAAATTTCATTGCAGTTAAAGAAATTTGAATAATGATCAAAACACTTCAAGGTTCCACAATCTCATCAACCTCTTAGAAAATAAAAAGAAATATTCTCATCCAATTCGTACTTCCGCAATTTCAAAATCCATAAATTTCCATTTATCACTGACAAGTCACACTTACAATTATAAATCTTTCCAGGTTCATAGCCACTTGGATTGTTTCCAATCACCAATCGATATCCGTTATCACCATTTCGCTTCCGTCCGTGATTTAAAGTTTTTGGTGGAACTTTCTTACACGAATGTACAAACGTTAGTAAGACGGATATTAAAAGAAATTGAAATATGCGGAAATTCATTTCTTCTTCCTTTGCTAGTCGATTCTAGCACATTAATTTCCACTGCCAGCTACACAGCACGAAAGTTTTAAAGAAACTGAAAAAAAAATTATTGTGCTCTCGTTATTATTCAGTGTGTGACCTGTGACATGAATTCTACAATTATATACTTGAGATAAGATAGAGATGATACATGTCGTGGATGCTGCTGTGTATGTAGAAGATGAATGTATGCAGTTGTATTAAATCTGAGATTTTGGATGATTTAACGGTTTATTAATATTTAAATCTCATGTTTGATTGATTGATTGATTGTTTATTCACCGTCTCGGGTGGTTAAGCTTAATAACTAGTGACATAATGCTCGTTTTAGACCATAAATTTGAAAATTAAATATTCATTACATAAATATATTGTTAAATAAATTTACACTAAAGGTGTTTGTGATAAGAAAATTGTATAATGTACGCACACGCACATATTGGTAAGTATTAATATATTATGTTCAAGTAAAGATTTCGATTTAAGTTCGTAAAAATAAAAACATTTAAGTAAAATAACGAAAAAACAGAGGTTTAAATAAATAACGCTAAAATAAATTTTGAATATTTCGCATCTAATTACTGCAACTGACGGATTATGCTGATTTGAACAGGTTGTTTATGTTTAGTTGATTGCCCCTCAAGACAATTAATTTGTTTTCTAATAGAAAATGTTTAAGTTTCTGTTTGAATAAGTTAAATCTTTTTATCTCTCTTATTTCCAGCGGCAGTTGATTGTATACTTTTGGACCTAAGCAAGTGAAGTCATTAGCAAGGAGTGCTTTACGGAATCTTGGAAATTTTAACTGCTTTTTTCTACGTCCATCAGTGATAAGTTCAAAGTCATCAGAGTTCGTTAAATTCTTCTTAATAAGCAAGAGTAAGTTGAAACATGCTATGCCTAAGACCGGTAAAACATTTATTGCAACATCCATGAACAAGCTTTCAGTTGGAAATCTTCTGTCTAGGCCAAATGTAATTTTCAGTGACTTGTTTTGGATTGTCTGTAATCTCTTGAGGTCCCCAGCATTCATCCTGCACATAAGAAAGCCACAACTGAAGAAGTGAGATCCAATAAACGCATTGTAGAACTGCAAAAGCGAGTATGTAGGTAAGTGCCTTTTAATGACATTCATTGCATTCACAGATTGAGAGATTTTTTTGACAAGTTGATTTGTGTGTTCATTTAATCTTAATTTGTTGTCAACAACGGCTCCCAAATATTTTATAGACTCAACTTTTTCAATTTCACTGTTTCTCATAAGATCATCTAGGTCTTTATAGTCTGTGAAGCCAAATGTCATGAATTTCGACTTGTTTGCATTCAATTTAAGTCCATTACTTGTATAGTATTGTTTAATAACTTCGATATCTTTTCTTATAGTATCCGGTATGTCTTCAAGCTTATCGCAAGTCAGCACCATCACCGTATCATCCGCGTACTTAATAATTGTGGACATGGTGTTTAAAAATTTGAGGTCATAAAGCATCAACACGAACAACAATGGTCCTAAGCAGCTACCTTGAGGAACTCCAAAGAGAATTTCAGCAATCTCACTCAGTTCGTCCATTATCTTGACATACTGCTGTCTGTTGGTCAGATAACTTTTTATTAGGGTGAGTGCTTTTCCACGAATTCCCATTTTTTCAAGCTTGAACATCAGCAAATCGTGATTGATACTGTCGAACGCTTTAGAAATATCAAAAAATACTACAACTACGTATTTATTCTTATCAAGTGCTTTTGAGATTATACTATACAGCTTACATAAAGCATCTTGCGTGCCATGATGTCTCCTATATCCAAACTGTAACTCATCATATTGCTTGTATTTAATAACAAAATTCTCAAGTTGGTCATAAATCACCCTTTCAAATACCTTGTTAATAGTTGGTAGAAGTGAAATTCCTCTATAATTCTCAACAAATGTTTTAGTTCCGTTTTTGTAAATTGGTTTAACTGCCGCGATTTTTAATACATCAGGAAAAACAGCATTGTCAAGCATGTCATTGATTAATACGGTCAGAATGGGAGCGAGAATATCAATATTATCCTTCCACACTTTGACAGGAATTCCATCGCTACCAATTGCTTTCTTCAAAGATAGTTCATTCATTAGCGTAACTATTTCGTTCTCTGTGACTGTATTCACTATGATGCTATTGATAAGTGGTTCGCCTAGGTATTTAAATGTTACTTGATTGTCAGTGATTGCTGTAAATCTTTGTTGGAATACATTTGCAATTTCCTTCTTGTCAAAAATCACGTTTCCATCTATCTCAATCACTAATTCATCATTCTTTATTGCTCGACCAGTTATTTCATTAATTACGTTCCATGAGAATGATCTGTTATTTGAAATAATATTTGAGTAATATGCTATTGCTTTCTCATTAACATGTAGGCTCAACATTTCCTCAAGATTTGCCATTTTTGATTCCAATAAGTTCACAGCACGATTATTATTCTTCAATTTTCGTATTTTATCATGCAAATTATTAATGTTGTTTGTAATTCTTATGTATTTTCTGTCAACATACGGTGGAACTTCATTTTCAAATTTATGCTTAACTTTGTAGTTGATGCGGGAATTATCTATGGATGACTTCATCAATTCAATGATTTTTGATAGAGCAACATTTGGACATCCATTGATGACATCATTAAAATCGATTACACTGAGCTCCTCTCGAATGATAGAATAATTTAATTTTGAGACACTTGAATGCATCCAGTTGGTTAAGTGAGTAATCTTTTTTATCAAGACAACAAAATTATGATCAGAAAGTTTGTAGTGTTTTGAAGTAAGAATTAATGCGTCTGTATTCTCTTTCAGCACTACATGATCTAGAAGTGTGCCTGAAGCAGGTCTAGTAATCGACTTATTAGCGACAAGATAGTCATTCATCATCAAGATGTCTCTATATTCTTGACAAGCTGTATAATTCAAAAAGTTTATATTCATGTCTCCAACCACTAACAAATCGTTGTGCTCGCTTAGTAATTCATCTACAGATTCATAGAATGATGATAAATTTCCTGAAGGAGGTCTGTACACAGCAAGTACTTTTTGCTTGAAATTTGCCGATAGTATTTCAATGAGAATAGCTTCCACATGCTGATTACAAATCTTGACGACAACATTCGTAACAAAGTATTTGCGTACGTATATTATTATTCCTCCTCCTTGAGATGAATCACGTGATACCAGAAAGCTGTTATAATTTCGGAGTTCGTATAGCTTAAAATTATCAAGTGATTTAATCCACGATTCAGCTAGAACAAGACAATCAATTATCTTATTTCTACCACTCACCAGTTCAGCCATTTGAGTTTTAAATTTTACAAGTTTGTCAAGTGATTTTATAGACCTTATGTTCCAAAATAGCAGTGAGAAGCTTGGATTATTTTCAGATTTTAATATTTCCTCTTTTATTTGTTTTGTATCACAATTATTGTAATCAATTATTTGCTTGCTATTACTATTTTGACATGTTTTCTGTAACTGAACTGGTGAGACGTTGTTTCATATTTTTTGAGCACCGGAATCTATTCGTTTGGACCCAATAATGTCATCATTTTCATCATTAACTCTTCCTCTTTTCTTTTCTTTTGCAGGTTTATTTTTATTGTTCCAGAATTCTTCGTTGTACTTTGCAGCTACTGAGATATAAGCATCCTGAACATTTAACAATTTCCTCAAGTCATCAATATCTTTCTCAGTGGTTACAATGCTGGTTTTAGTGCTTTCCTTATCATTATCTCGATCCTTTAATTTATAGGTCACCAAAATACCACGATCAGAACCGCGTACATTGACTAAGGTCCCCTCGTTCTTTAATTCGTAGCATATTCTTTTCAAATTCCAGACATTTTTACTTGCACTCATTTCAGCATAATATTTTATTGAATTTTGCTTTCCGTCATCAGTTAGACTCTTATTGTGATTGATCACTTGGGAAAATATGCGACCAGCAGTTACTGGATCATTAAAACGAGCTCTCAACATTTTTATCAGCTTACGTTTCCTATTCACAAATCGGTTAGCAGTCATCAGGTGAGCATCAATTACATCTTTGGGTGTCACAATTTTCATTTCGCTTAGAATTTCAGCAAATTTTTGTTTAGGACCCGTAGTGCCTTTCTCAACACAATCAGCATCTTTTCCATCCACGAAGACAATATTAATAAAGTGACTGTCAAATGCGCAATTCTTTGTTACTTCTAGTGATTGAACACGATTCTTCACCTCATTGATTCCATCTGCGAGATTTCCAACACCCATTGTCAAATTATTTATAGATTCCCTGTTTGCTTGGATTTCTTCAGCGTCTTCGTTATGCTTGCTTATAGTCACATTATGAGACTGCAGTATATTCTCACTATCCTCGATAACATTCTTCATATCATCCATCATATCAAGTAAGACCTTTTTAGTTTGCTCATCTTTAATCAATAAAATTTCAGATTTTCTTTCTTCCAATGATTTTTTTCTAGCTTCTAGGACACTGATCATTTGAGGCAATTCAGACATTGGATCAACGATCGTGCCATTTAGAGAAGTCCCAATAGATGATGTTGATGAGAAGCTTTCATTGAGCTGTTTCTGGGAAGCTTGCTGACTTTTAAAGAAGTCCATAATGCTGGAGTTTGAACTTTTGTACCCATTAATTGGATTTGTGACATCTTAAATGTTACGTCACTTTATGTATGAAATTATTGGAATCTCTCACATATTAAAGTGCCTCAAAAACTACATCCAACTCAGCAATCAAAAAACAAAAGTAATATCCATTAAAACTTCAAACCAAAACCAATTACAATATCCTAAATAATAAAATTTTCTGTTCCTATTCATAAGCCTCAAAATTGCTTCTGTTTTGTGAGGAAGCAAATGGAATAAAACCAACAACATTGCGGTTGTGATGGCTGTTCAAACTTGGTTTAACTTGCTTTTTAAAAAATTTGATTTGCATAACTATTTTACAGCTACTTGAATCCACAAGTTTGATGCTTTTGTATGAGTTTTTTCAGCCTAGCTTTTAAAAGCTTCTCAAATTTAATGCATCGTAAAATAAAATTACAGAAGTCCTCGTGTTATTGATCGAGGGACTTACGCGCATTTTTGTGTTGGGGATCAGTATTTGATTATCTAATTATTTTGCGTGCACCTATAGATCATGAGAAGATTAAAAGATCATGAATTTTAGTGCAATTGACGAGTGATTCAAATTTTTTAACGGTAGAAATAAATTTGAGTTTCTGAACATACCCTGAACAATTTTTAAAACGGTAGAAAATAATTCAAATTTCTGAACGCATCCATCACGTGTTTTTCATATGAAATAAAAAAAATCAATAATTAAAGTATAAATACACTGTTTTAAGACTTTTAACTGTTCGTACGGCCAATAACTCGATAGAACTGAGCTAATAAAACAAACCCGAGCTCTCTACGATGTCTAGTTAAAAAGTTTTTCTTGGCCCGAACGAGCAGACGAACAAAGTGTATTATTAAGCTAATGATAATAATGATGTGTGAAGGGCCCAGCCTTTCAGCTGGAGGCACTGCGATTCAAATTAGAACAGAATCTATTGTACCACACCCTTTAAACCTACAGTTTATAGTGGGATCCGAACCACTTGCAAACTCTGCACATTGCAAAGACACGAGTACGTCATAAGACCTGATGTACCCTGCAATGTACCTAGTCACAATTCGTGTGCGCAAGATGCCGTAAGGAAGTCATCCAGATGCTAGTATATCCTTGTATACCTAACAAAGGAGGCAGATTCTGTGCCAAAGACCTCAAAACTACACCCAACACATGAACCGAGCTTCGTAACTAGAACGGTGAAATGGAAAAAGAGCTTCGAAAATTAGACATGGGCTGGGATGGCTTTGAAACAAGTTTCAAAAATGCGCTTAAAATGCATTTAAAATTAAGAACAATAGAAAAATATTAGGCTTTAATAAATTTATTATTGCGCTTATTTTTCAGTGCTTCAAATACAGATTTTCGGTTTGAATGTGATTTCTAGAAATTCACTAAATTCTAGACTAAGTTCATCAGCTTTAATACCAAACTAGGAAATAATAAGTAATAAATACCATTCCATACCAAGAACCATCTATGCCATTACAAAATGATACCTTGTTAGATGCCGCTAATGGAAAGCAACGTGTACATCTTTATTATGATAGTTTATGCTACATAAATGGCATAAAAAATAAATTTGCTTCCAGCATTACATAGAAATGCAACAATGTTGCTCTTCCATAACAAAATTAGAGTCTGGTTTTTGCATCGATAGAAATTTTCAGTCATAATTAAATTTTAATGAACTTCAGCCATCGCTACCTGTAGCATATTTTCACAGACTTTAAAATTTTTCTACAAAAGTAGGTGACTGTCAACATTGTATGTCTTCAATTAGCTTTTATCCAACCTTTCCACTGCCACTTAATGGTAACAATGTTGATAAGCTTTATCTAAAAGTACAAGTGGAAAAACTTTCTGTCGTGCCATTTACGAACGGCTACAATATCAATGACAATAAAAAGCTCCTTCTCCTCTCGCTTCGCTTTTCCAATCAAGCGAGTATTTACATTTCAAATATTTATCTTTGTTCTTCGCAAAAGGATTAATGAAAATTTATTTCAACGACAAATTTTGTTTGTTCTTTTATATTGAATTACATTAGTGAATAGGGTGGAATGGGAATCGACGGTGAGTTGTGAGAATGTAAAGGAAGAAAAAATGTGAAATGTTTTTTGCGATTGTTTCTTCTTGATTTTAAATGTTTAAGGAGTGAAGAGTGAATTTTCAATTTACGTCCAACACGTAGGAGAGCGAAAGGGGTTGGATTTTGTGACAGAGGAGGGAAGGGGATCTAAAAAGCTGGTTTTTTGACAGACGGACAGCTGAATTTGCTCGTTGACAGAATGGTTTAGTACTTCGGTACTTAATTATTGCAATTCCGATCATAGGTTCGCGACTGGTAGGGAATATTTTTCGCTTATCCTTTTTCGAACCATATGTACTAGAAATGAAGCTCACAGCCTTTCTTTATAGGCTACAGGCAGAAATGTCATCAAAGGAGTGGATCGGATCCCACTATAAATTGTAGGTCTAGGTTTTGAGTGCAGTGGTTTGGTGCATTCTCACTGGTTAAACTCTCATTAGCTGCGAATCGCCCTAGCGCACTTATAGATCACAATTGATCTGAATAGGTAAAGGTTTTTTTTTTGACGGACGTCATAAATGAATGATATTTTATGTGTATGCTAGGGTTTTTTGAATATCAGAATGTGGACTTAGCTGATGTTTCGATCAAAAAAGTGCAATTAAAAATTCATATATTCTTTAAAAAATATTTTATTCTCCAAAACCTAAAAAAATTGTAAGCATGTCAATGTACTTAAATTTTGAATATTGTTCATCCGGCATTTACACTAAAATGCGACAATATTATTCCAAAAATAGACACAGATATTAAAATTAAATAACCAGACAACAATTAAGATAAAAATCTGTAAAATATTTAAAAAATAAATTACAAAAAACCTATCAAAATAATCAGTCGTAGTTTGAAGTTATCAACATATAGTTTGACATCCCAATGGGGTTCTTTAGCTGTGTGGCTAGTTTAAAAGGAACTTTTCCAACAAAACTATTTATTTTTATGATTTTCTTGCTGACATCCTTTGTGATTAATTTTACACATTTGATTCTTTTGACTCTGATAAGACCATTGAGTAAGAGACTTTATTTTTGGATAGTTCAGTATATCAATTGGACGTTTATAGCTCGTAAGTATTAAAATAACTCACAACCCGAATAGCACAAGACAGTTAATCGAATAGAAAACCTATACCAAGCCATCATGACTTTAACATGGTGCTAGCTTCGATTTATGTTCAGCATCATGCAATAATCACGCTGACTTGGTGCCAGATTTCTTGATCGATTAACTGACTTGTGCTAGTTGAGTAATGTCTAAAGTAATCCTCAAAATCCTTGTCATATCGACAATAATCTGCTGAATTGGTAGAGATATCGACCTGAGTTGAGATTCGAACCTACAAGTAGATTACAGATATTCAGTCTGTTGCGTAACCATTTGAACCACAGAGGCTTAACTCTCGAACTTGCAAATTAACCTATATATCGCAAGATATTCTAGATTCAGCTTAGCTTAGACATCAAACTAATATCATTCATTATTAATAATCTCTCAAAAAATTCCCAATTCTAATTTCTATCCCCAAACAGAAGCCGTATTTTTCTACGAACACTGGTCAAATTCCGAAATAATATTCCACTGTAAGCAGAGTGATTATGAAGCACTGAAGCATGAAAAAGTTTTTGTCATCACAAATCACTCGCATGATATTGACATACTTTTATGGATGGTAATAATGAATCATTTCCAAAAGTTAGGAAATGATATTTGCTACGCAAAAGATTTCGTAAAGCATATTCCATTTATTGGTTGGCATATTTATTTGTCTCAACACATTAGACTCAAATTATGTTATGAGGAAGATAAGAATACAATAGAAACGAGATTTCGAGATATAGCAGCAAATGCAAGTGATGTTTGGGTCGTTTTTATGCCAGAGGGACCACGTCTCACAAAAGAACGACATGCGGAATCGATAAAGTTTGCATTAGATAGGAATCTTCAGCCACTGATGCATCATTTGGTTCCAAAGAGTAAAGGAATTGCTGTGTCGTATGAAGCATTGAGACAACAAGGATATAAAACTATTGTTAATGCACAGATTGCATTTGATGCAAAAAAATTCTCTCAACCAAAATTTTCAAGCATGATGCAATGTCGGAAGATGCAAGCTCACGTATATTTCGAAAGAATTCCATTTGATAGTATCGAACCGACATTCGATGGAATCTATAAAATGTTCAAATCCAAAGATGAGCTTCATGAAAGTTTCATCGAACGGGGAAACTTCAATAAAAATGGAAATTTGAAAAAAATTCTAATGCAGAATCACAAGTCGATTCTAATAAATTTCATTTGCTGGAGTGCTCTCTGGATGGTTGTGACAATTGTCGGTGGATATTCTGTGATTGTTCATTTATATTATAAGGATATGCAAAATTATTCAAACCTTGTTACGCTGGTGAGAATTGCTTGTGACATTCATGATTATACTTATATTTATTTGAGGCCAATATTGTATTGATTTGAGTCGAGTGAGGGTGATTGGGTGTGCTAATGGTTAATCGACTTGAAGTGGGACGGACAGAAACTGACTGACAGCAAAATGACATAAATTGACAGCAAACTGATAGAAACTGACAGCAAATTAATAGAAACTTGCGGCAAGTTAAGAACAAATTGACTTCATGGCAGCAATTTGACATCGAATTAATGGAAACTGACAGCAAAATGACAAAACTTGACCGAGCATTGAGAGAAAAATGACCGAAACTGACTGCAAACTGCCAGCAAAATGACAGAAACTGGCTGAAAACTGAGAGACTGATTTCAAAATTACAGAAACTAGCTGCAAGCCGATAGCAAATTGACAGAAACTGACAGCAAATAGACAAACGCTGACAGTAAATTGATCAAAACTGACAGCAAATTGACAGCAAATCGAAGACAAACAGGCAAAAATTTCCAGTTCCATTGACACACCCTTAATTTCAAAAACTTATTTTCTTGTTCCCAATATTCATTGAATCAGAATAAAATAAAATTGTATCTATTAAAAGTCAAGTCTACCTCTCAGATTTCTCAACTGTAAAATTTCGGCAACAACTTTCTTCAAGGCAAAAAAATTTAATTCCATTAAAATCGCTCAGTTTGCTCCTTTTCTACAAAAGAAATCATGTTTACTAAAAAGAAAACTTTTAACTTCGTCTCATTTTTCAGTCATATTACATTTCCTGTTTCTTAGTAATATTTCCAAGATGAAAAAAAAGAACAAAATATACAAATTGAAGCCACAAGTTAACAGATGAAAGTAAGTAGAAGAACAAACATTTACAAAATGAAAGTTAAACTTGCGAAAAACTTTTTTCCTGCTTTGCTATTAACGTTTTAAATTGCTGAAAATGTTACGAAACCCCTCGTTGAGGTATCTTTTTAATAGATATTGTTGGCAGTATTTAGTATCATAAATGGAGGGGTGAGCGGAATCTCTTTCACGTGGACTATTATAGAAGCTATTTGCTACGTTGTTGAACTTTTTTTGTGTGATTTTTAAGGTGATTCAGTTGTTGAGATAAAAAACTTTTTATTTTGATGTGGAAAAGTTGATGGTGGTTTGGTCATTTGGCTTGTTGAAGGTTGGCTGGGCCATAATGTGTCATTTAGGTTACTACAATGCTTTGCATCTAGGCTTTATTGAATTGTTTTAACTTTTTTAACGTATTTTTGAAACTTGTTTCTAAAAAAGTCTTAAATCAGTGTATTTATACTTTAATTAATGATTTTTTTATTTTATATCAAAAACACGTGATGGGTGCGTTCAGAAATTTGAATTTTTTCAACCATTGTAAAAATTGTAATCGGGTGCGTTCAGAAATTTGAATTATTTTCTACCATTGGAAACATTGTAATCAGGGTGCGTTCAGAAATTCGATTTTTTAACCAGTAAAAAATTTGAATTCAAAAAACCTTTAAATAATAAAGCCTTGCTACATGGATATTCATTGTAATTATTTGTCGATTTCAATAAAATTAATGATCTTCTAATCTTCTCATGATCTGTAAATGAGCACATACATATTATCTCAAAGAACCATAATCAATTAAATTGTAAAAACAACAAAAATATAAAAATTACTGCTAATTACACATTTAAAAGCTGCCCTAATTTTCCACATCAAAAATCTTCAATTATCTCAAAATCTATCATCAATATCATAAATTATTATTTCTTGAAATATCAACACAAATTCAAATTGAGCATCAAATATAGCTACACCCATAAAATTACACAACTGATTGCACTCAAATGAAATATTTACAAATAAATGCTGAACATGCAATTACGTTGAAATGGAAAATTTACGAATTATTTACACAGAGAAGCATTTCCAATGCATGAGTGCGACTAGCAAGGATATCATAGAAGTCTAGCAGCACTTATTTGAACACTCAATTATGCATGATGTTTTCTATTTTGTGTCATATTAGCATCTTATATTATTTTCTGATATAAAATATTTAAAGGAAAATTACGTTTGTCACTTAAGGTAATGGTGATCAGGCGAGCGTGATAGAATGTAAGATAAATATCAAGGGTCAGACACTCCAACAGAATTGTAAAGATTGTACAATTCTTCACAATCCATATGGAAGGATTGTAAAGATTGTACAATCCTTACAATCCTTACAATCTTTATATGAGAAGGATTGTAGGGATTGTAATCCTTACAATCCTTATATGGAAAGGATTGTAGGGATTGTAATCATTGAATTGCAATCCATATAAGGATTGTAAGGATGAAATAATTGTATGGAACATTTAAAAATGTTTTTCATGGGTTATTAAAGAAGAAATATTACTTTAATATTAAAAATTTTTTTTGTTTGAATTTAAAGAACGAAATAAGCTTGATATATCAATTTTTTCCCTTTTAACCAGGGTGATTTAAATCAAAAATCAAAATCATTTTGCAATGATTTTAAAAAGGATTTTGATTTAAATCATTTTTTCAAAGGGATTTTTTTTTTGGATTTTGATTTAAATCTCTTGTATGAAAGATTTTATTGGGATTTTAAAATCCCTCCATGTAAAATTTTTGTTTTCAATTTCTCAAATTAATTTTCAAATCAACAGTTTTCAGTTGCAGTTCCTAATAAGTAAGAATGCAGTTGATCCTTTTTTGGCCTGAATCTTGCAACTGGATCTTTTAGATCCAAATATTTCTTAAAGAAAGGTTACAGCAACCAATGGTTCCATGCTGTTTGACTTAAACGAAATCCAATTCGTGATTTTTAATCTTTTGTGCCTTGCTGCTTGCATATAAATAACTGGACTTCATCAATCATGCCTGGATCTTACTCTATATGAGGATTTACTTGCTCAATGCTTTAAAAAACTTAAATATCTTTTATTATAGTACGTTAGTTTAATGAGTCATAAGCAAGAATAGGCACTTGAACTGCCTGGTTCCTTTACATCCACAAAAAATTTTTTGTTGCTTTTTCATCAAGGATTCACCTCTTGAAGTCAAAAATTTTGTGCGGAAATGGCCGATTCCTTTCGTACATGAAAGCACAGAAGATAAAAAATCACGAATTGGATTTCGTTTCAGTCAAACAGCATGGAACCATTGGTTGCTGTAACCTTTCTTTAAGAAATGCTTGGATCTAGAAAATCCAGTTGCAAGATTCTGGCCAAAAAAATGATCAACTTCATTCTTACTTATGAGGAACTGCAACTGAAAACTGTTTATTTGAAAATTAATTTGAGAAATTAAAAACAAAAATTTTACATCGAGGGATTTTAAAATCCCAATAAAATCTTCCATACAATAGATTTAAAACAAAATCCCCAAAAAATCCCCATACAAAAATGATTTAAATCAAAATCTCTTTTGAAAATCATTGCAAAACGATTTTGATTTTGATTTTTGATTTAAATCACTCACCCTGTTCACAGGTGTAAAAATTATACTTTTTACAGCTTTTTAATGAGTTGAAATGTATAAAAAATCATTCGAATTGATTCACGGTAAATTATTGCATTTTAAATATAATTGTTTTCAAAGAAATTTCTGACTTTCTTCATTTTTCGTATTTTATTTTATTTTTTAAAAATAAATGGACATTATTTTTTGTTTAGTAAGGATTGTACAATCCTTACAATCCTTATATAGAAAGATTGTAGGAATTGTACAATCCTTACAATCCTTATATGAAAAGGATTGTAGGGATTGTAAGGATTGTACAATCCTCACAATTCGTATGGAAGGATTGTAAGGATTGTACAATCCTTACAATTCTGTTGGAGTGTCTGACCCTTGATAAATATACATTATTGGCTATTTGGCAATGTTGGTGCAATTAGAAATTATTAATAGGGGATTTGGTTTATTTACAGATGAGCTGTTGAATGCAGGGAGTGTGATGCAGGAGTGTGGATAGGAAAATGTTGGTGAGGTCAACAGATAAAGTGTAGCCAATAAAGAGTAGGGTTTTAAATTAATTTATATAGACGTATTAAGGTTCATTAAAATTTATTCATGTTTCATTATAAATATCTCAAGAACTAGTATTAGTATAGTCAATTAGCCATTCGTTTACGGTTTCGATCTGGAAAAACGATAGTTTGATCATCCCTCAGTGAGGGTCCATTACACTTGTCCTTAAAATTCAACAGTGCCTTAATATTTGCTACATGAACTCGATAATTGATTTCTGATAGATTTGTGGTTCCAGTCATGAATTTCTGCGAATAAAAATTAAAATTAATCATTTTATAAATTTATTGGAATCCTTTGGATATTAAGCGAAGCTATTTAAGGTGCAACATGTCTATAATAACAATTAAAAGTCTATGCGATATCCAAACAAATCCTTTAAAGCTATAGCCTCACCTGCAATCGATTTGTCACCAGCCAAAGCTCCTCCTCACCAACTAAATTAGTGACAACTTTCACTCCACTAGCAAACTGCATCGTTTCATCATTTCTATGAAGAATTTTAATGTTGTCAGTTTTGTATGATGTCGATGAGTCCCAACAAACAATCGCAAGTGGATTCAACAAAACAAAGTACAAATTTCCATTTTTATCCATCGCTTGTGCTGCAAATTGAATATCAAGTACAATTAAAAATGGAAAAAAATTTCCATATTTACAAATGAACATACCGCCTGTTTGTATTCCTCTCGTACCGATCACTTTGAATTCATCTGCCATTGCATTTGCATCATTTTCCCATATTGTTGCATTATTTATAATCCTAAGTGGCACAGCATTTTCCGTTCCAGATGCGAGAGCATGAAATAGAAGTGAACGTTCCGTGTCTTGTCGTAATGGAACTTTCGGTATGGTCAATGCAAGTAATCCATCCATCAAATCAAAAGATTCTCCAGCAATTGTAAATTTTCCGTAGTTTGGATATGGATAGAACTAAAGAATGAGGATGTATGTTGAAAGTATTAATCAATCAATGTTGAAAAACATATCAGGTGCATTTTGAGAAGTGGTTTGAGGTAAGGATTGAATGCATGCATTTATTTTGAGGAAGAAACTAAACCGAATTGCACATGGTTGTGAAAAAGTCACAGAACGGCCATTTGGGACGGGTTTCTTGGTCTACAACTGTCTCAAACTTACACCTTATCCTAACCTCCACGTAATCCTAACCTAGACTAAGCCTTAACCTATAAGTAGCCCTAAACTAGACCTAGCCCTACTAGACCTAGCCCTACTAGACCTAGCCTTAAACTTGACCTAGCCCTTACCTAAGCCTAGCTTTAAAATAGACCTATCGCTAACCTAAGCCTGGCCCTACACCTTGCTCTAACCTAAACCTACCCATAACCTAAAACCTTGTAAGTCAGATTTAATACAATATAGTCGATTAACATCATATCGGCGCAATGCAACTATATTGCAACTTTTTCAAGCCATATGCCACTCGGACTAATGAAATTGATGCCAAAGCTCTTACATATTCAACTTACAAGCTTGTTATTAACTCTCCATGCCTTGTTAACTTCACAATCGTAAACAATAAGACCGAAGCCAGTTACATCAGCTATATAAGCTTTAACTCTTGAACATCGTCCAGGATCTGCAACGTCAAGTATCTATAAAACAAAAACTTGATAATCCTCTCAAAAAACATTACAAATATTGATGCTTACGGGCGTAATAAACAAGCTATTATCCACATACATGCTCTTATCGAAACGGTATCGCTTAACGAGCTTGTCTGAGATCAAGTTGAAAATTAGCAACTGTGGTTGACAGTACTGAATATTGCCAATTTTTCCTGTATCGAGAACCCACATTTGATTACATCCATCAAAAGCCACACGAAAAACTGATGTTATTCCATCACAATTTTTGCCATTTGATGAGTGCCAATCGTAACTTGGATACGGCTCAATTAATAATGACGATGATTTTGTGTAGCCCAACGAGGCTGGCACACCTGTCGTGAATCTTGGCATTGTTACAAATACTCTCGTGCTGTCTAAATTACCTTCAAAAGAAAGTTTTCGTGCAAGTCATTCATAAAATTTCAAAATATTCAGCATGTCATACCTCGATAATCAACAGCAACATCAATTGGTATAACATTTGCTGGTACATAATATCCATTGTTAATGGCTTGTTGCCTGATGGCATTTGATGGAAATTGAAAATCCATTTGTCGCCATTGTTTGAAGATCCGCACATTTGCTTCCGTTGAAAGGATGAAAATGAGGGTGATGGTGAGGAGACCTTTGAGGTACATGCTGGAAGGTAAAATAATGTTTTCTAAATATTGAAAGTTATATGGATGACACCAATGGAGTTGTGATCCTCTGATCTATAGATTTGTGAAGGAAGCTTGGCTCCTCATTTATTTATGAACTGAATCTTCAATTAAGATCTCAAAAAATTCAAAATAAAACAATTTATTCCTACAAAACTCATTAAAATGTTCCTTCCTTCCTTCCTACTCTCCTTACAAGTGGTTCCTGCTCCTTTTGAATTAAATTCCTCATAAAAAATTTCCACGTAAAATATTTTTCATTCATTTTAAGTTTTTTGTTCATTCAATTATTCTACTTTTTCCACATTTAACTATAAAAAACTTTTATTGGTAATTTTTTAAGCTTCCAACATCACCTCCGTAAACTTTTATTTCATTACAATTTTTTTCATTTTACGTCTCTCGTTGTTAGCAAGCAGATAGAAAATTGCAGAAGTTTTCCATTTTATGGCATACTTTTTAGTACGTATTGGTATTTTTGTCACCTGTTTCATTAAGTCATTTCATGCTTCATTAAGTTTTTCTCTCTCGTTTTTTTATGACGAGGTTTGTGAACTTTATAGAATCTAATTTACAGTTTTACGTGAATTATGGAATGCTGAAATGTCGTGGGAGGAAGTTTTTGAATTAAATTACGAAGGTGTTGTTCTTTATGTGTTGATTTTGTTTAAGGTTGGGTTAGTGACACAAAGGGGGATAACATAGAGATATTCGAGGGTGTATCATAGCTTAAAATAGAAGCTATTTTTAGGGAGCACTCAAAAAACCTCAGTCTTAAGGATTTTTAAAGGTCTGATAGCTTCCTTAGCTATGGACTCTTGAACCTGTAGAGGGGGGGGGGGGGGATTTGAGGGACAAATCTCCCGACTTTAACAGAAATTTCTTCATTTTGCTAGAAGTTTTATAAAAAAAATCCCCCCCCCTTCCTTCTGAATTTTCCATATGAATTTTTTTGCCCCCCCCCCCATCCTCCTTGAAATTCCTGGCTACGCCCCTGCTGTAGAGTCTTAATAAGAAAGCTAAGGCTGGGTTTCTGAAATGACACGTGGCAACCTACATCATGGTTGATGTAACTCCATAGTAAGGTTTAAATAAAATTTAACAGGAGCCAATGTAGTCTTAGAATTGATCAAATAATTCATCACAATTTGTAACCTCATTTAACCTACTCATGCAAGTTGATATTTTTCCCAAATTTTAATATTTTATAAGGAAAAAAAGCTGAGCCACTTCCCTATTTAATTAGAACTATGCTTCGTGGAGCTTTAAGTTTGAGAAAAATTGCAGTAAACATTTTTTACAGACAACCAATGGCGTATCCAGAGTGGTGTTTTGAGTGTTAAAAAACCCAAGAATAGAATCTAATGCAGAATCTAATACTGCAATTGATGATATGTTTACCATCCCAAGTCCTTTAAGAGATTTTCTAATAATAATCGAGTAAAAAACCTCCATAAATATTGGTTTTCGCACGTAAATACCTAAACAACCCCTATGAAGATTTTTTTGATCCGCCCCTGCACACAATCATTTATTTCAAAACCTCATTAAACATTAAATATAGATTTATGGATAATTAAGTTCTATAAAACATGTTGGCACAAATTATGATTGTAAATTTAAAAATTCATAACTCTTAATGGATTTATGACGTTGCTTATGTTGTAATATGTAATACGTGAAAATGTAAATTTAGGATGAATTATTGCATCATTTTGAAATTTAATAGATGGATAAAGTTATTGACAAAGCCATATTCAGAAATATTTTTCAAATGGTGGTGCTTTAAAGGTGGAGTTGATGTGTTTGGGAAGGAATAATTATAGATAATTTAAAATTAAGCTGAATTGTTGAAAATCTTTCCTTGCTTCTCTCCTGCTTATTAAAACAATTTTGAATTCAACGTATATAAAACAAAGGCATTTGACTGATATCGACATAATAGAACTGAGTATGACTAGATTGCTGATTGCGTAGAAAGCTTATAAAGAGGCTTGGTTTTTCAGTGGATCCACTCCTTTTTTCATTTTTTAAAAATATATTAATTTTGTTTTTTTCTAGTTCGTCCAGAAAACGATTAAAATTGGTAGACTAATGGAATGTCATCTTTTTTACTCTCAGGTCTTCCAAAAACTATCCAAAAAATATATGATCACCCTACTTACAGGCTAAGTCCCAAGTCAAAATGATTTTAAATCATTTAAACAATTTTTTTCCCAAATTTATAGAAATTTTAACAGCATTTATGACTCTTTGACGCCCCTATCCTCAAAAATTCAAATCACAAAATCATTACGATTTCCTAGAAATGTTGTACCTAATACCTTCTAAAAATAAACACCACTTAATTTTATGGCAATATTCCACCTTAAATGAACATAATTTCCCGGAAGTACAAGAGCATTTATGAATAATTACGTGATTCTTCTTGATAGCTTCCTCAAAACTCGTACAAACTTAAAAAGTTGATTCCATTAATCACTTCAATAAAAGTAAATTATGACTTTTAAGGTGAAGAGGAAAAAAAATCGTGCTTTTCATCGTGAAAGAAAAAGTCAGAATCTTCAGTGAAAAATGAATTAGTGCCACAGACGCGAGTAAATGACGTCACTTAGTGTAAATAATTTTTTAATGTCATAAAGCATGAACATTTTTAAATTATATATAAAAAAAACTTTGTTTACAAACTAAAAGCTTTCAACTCCAGAAAATTATTTTACAACCTTTTTTAATGTCAAACTTTTATGTGACATCTTAAATTTAAGATTATAATTATCACTTTCAGCATTCATGAATGAATTTAATTTTACTCAAGTTGAAAATTAAATGATTCGGGAGTTGACCTTTGCTCTCCTTAAAAGTTATCGAAAACTTCCCTCATGATAAGTGAATTTTATGGGATGTAGGAACATTATTGATCCCTTGTTGATGGTAAGGTATATTATGAATGAATTTTGTACGCATTTTCTTTAAAAGGTTTTTAATTTTATGTACAGGTTTTTCAGGAAGCAAGAGTAATTAAAGTCTCTTTCAATGTGTAAAGCTTGGAGCCGGTTTCTAGAGCCACCCGCAGTATCCTTCTTATTATAGCCTTTGTGTGCCTTAGTTTTTTAAGGCTGAGAAAAGTAGGATCTTTAAAGGTATTATTATTATTGATTATTATTATTTCATGAACATTAGAGTTCTCACATTTATTTAACGGACAAACAAATTTGAATTATAACGGTTCGTTACAATTTAAAAATTGGGAGTGGTGAATTGGTGAATTTTAAATAGTGTGGGATAAGTTCAGTTATTGTTTATCTTTCTAACATAACAAATCAAATAATTTGGAAATATTAATGCTATTCTTAACATCTGATTCCACCGATTGAACCAGATTGAAGGCTTTCTGAATGCGATGATCCTTGCAAATGATTTGAACTCAATGAGAGGGATTCAGAAGAGTTGAAGCATTCGACAATGACTTTTGACCAGGAGTTTCAAGCTGGTGTGAAAATAAATATTAAAGTTCATAAAAAAAAGTTCTTCGTTTAATTTTCGAAGAATCTTCAAAAACAAATTTAAATTAATAAATCAGAAAATGCAAATAAAAAATAATGTTTACAATAAAATATTTACATTTCATTTATTAAAATTATTTATTAACCAACATTCAATAAAATTCTCATTTATTGTGACAATATAAAAGGTTTAGTCTTGGGGATTGTGACAAAAAAATATGAAAAGGTTTGAAAATTAAGGAACATTATTTTGTAATTTTCATTCATTAAAATGGATTTTCTATTATGACAAAAAGGGGTAGAAAAATATTCTATAAATAAAAAAGTTAATTAACAGATCCATTAATGAAAAGAAAAAGTTTTCAACATACTTAAAAATTTATGTGACGATTAAAAATTCTTCGACTAGAAAAACTGGGTCTCGTCTTTTATTTACTTTTAAATTTTCATCATTTGACTAATTTAATATGCATGCACATATCCTCAACATAAGTATTTAGCAGAAATTTAATTAGCTTAAGACGAAGATGCTTTTCCATCTCAAATATTTGATGATGAAAAAAGAAATTCTTAATTAAATGGAAATAAGGAGCGACAATTTTAATTCCTTAAAATCATCCCGTGCATGAATTTCTATTTGAATATTTCAGAAACATGAACGAAATGGATTATAATTAGATTAAACTTCTAATTAGCATTTAGATTTTTAAGATAGGACTTTTGAACTTATTTTATTATTAATTAAATTGAATTTGATTCTAATTGATTTGGAATTGTCAAGATTTTAGAAAGAAGTTAAAGAAATCAAATTTTTTTGAAAGGAAACAAACATTTTTGAAAGAAATCAAACATTTTGAAAGAAATCAAACTTTTTTGATAGAAAACAAACATTTTTGAAAGAAATCAAACTTTTTTGATAGAAATCAAACTTTTTTGAAAGAATTCAAACTTTTTTGAAAGAAATCAAACTTTTTTGAAAGAAATCAAACATTTTAAAAGAAATCAAAATTTTTTGAAAGAAATCAAACTTTTTTGAAAGAAATCAAACTTTTTTGAAAGAAATCAAACTTTTTTGATAGAAATCAAATTTTTTGAAAAGAAATTAAACTTTTTGGAAAGAAATCAAACATTTTTGAAAGAAATCAAACTTTTTGGAAAGAAAACAAACATTTTTGAAAGCAAACAAACATTTTTGAAAGAAAACAAATCTTTTTGTTCAAATTTTCTTAGTTTTCATTCTTCTCGTGCTTATTATCCAATCTAATTTCAAATACAATCCCATAATAAAATTCAATGCCAATAAAACCTCCATAAAGAGAGCAAAATTCCCATTGATTAAGTTATTTCCGTCCCTCCCCCTTAATTACTACCATTGAATGGAAAATTCCCTGAATGAATAGCAAAAAAGGGAACCTTATATTTCAAATGTCGCAGACAAATTTTCATTCAACATAATTACTGGGAAAGTTTTTGCAGGAAAAAAATAAATAATCAAAAGATCCTGTTAATGGAAGTTTGAATGTATCAATTAGTTTGAAGGTTCATTCTAATTGTTCAGCAACTGGCTAATGAAGTGATAACGATGTCAAGTTTATGGCGAAAGTATGCTAAGGATTTGGGTATGAAAAATCATAAATCTTTGGTGTAATGTGCAGGAATAAGGAGCAGTTCACTTAAAATAAATTATTGAATGATCAATTTCATGTTTGTTATTCTGGTTGAATTTATTGATGTTTTATTTTCATAGAAAAAGGTCGAACGAAGAGTTGAGAGGCTGGAGATCCACCATCTCCTCTCAATCTTAATCATTATTAAATCACAAACAATTTGAAACCTTACTTTAAATAAGATTCAAGGTCATTTTGTGGCCAACTAGAATCGAAAATTGCAGCTTATCGTTGAATTTTTAAAGATCGAGTTATTAAATTAAGCAGATTTTTACCAAAAAGTTACCATTTTCTTGAAATGTCACATTTGAATTGTTAATCACAATTTCTAGAAAAATAGTGTCAATGAAAATCCCCAAAACTTAATTCCATAGAAATATTAAGAAATAAATCATTTTGAAAGAATTAAAATATTTCACGTAGCAAAAAAAGTTGAAACAAAATTTGCATATTTTAATATGTTTATTTTTAATTCTAATACGCACTCTTATCAGCCTTCACTTTGTTATGCTCTATTTTGTTGAATTTAATATAAAGTTAATGACATTGTTCCTGATAACAGAGGCCAAACAGGAACGTGTTTAATGTTATTATTATTAATATTTCATGCACTTGATTATAAAGTGAATTAAAGCAGCCTGTAAGTCCACAAAACTCCAATAAAGAATTGCAAACCTCTTTTGACTTTAACAAGCACTGATCACTGCTTAAGCTACCAATAAAAAAATTAATTTCTTTTAATAACTGTCTAAATTCACAATCTTTGAAATCCCTCAACTAATCAAAAATTCGAAGCACATAACTCATTTAAATAACAGACACTCATTATTCCAAAAATTAAACCAAAACTTTTTTTCCAACATCTTCCATCAGAAATTAAATTCGCAATAAGTACTTCGCCTTACTGTAAATTGGGGGTCATTTTGAAGCAGTTCACTGATTTATTCAAGTGCTATTAATTTTTGAGAAACGAAAATATTTAATTAATTCACATCATCATTTACCGAGAACCTTTTTCTGTTCTCTTTCTTCAGATTTTTTTAAGCACGCGAGAGAGCACAAAAATATAAATTTTGTGTAACTGCAAAGAAGGAAGACGAAAGGAAAAATTATTAATTGTCAAGTGCTTTATAGTCGCATCACCAGAAGAATATAAAGAATAGACAATTAATATTAATTTATTCATAAAGTGAACCTTTTCTTTCTTCCCTTCCAAATCTGCCTACTTACTCTGTGCCTTCTTTCCAGAATTCTCAGGCTGAGCTTTTATTTTTAAACAGATTCTCACAAAAGTTAAATTTCAATTAAGGCGCTAAAGCGAACTGAGAGACGAACGAGAATTAAAATAAAATTCTGACCGCACCGACAGCGGCAAATCATCGACTGTCGCTTTGAGTATCATCAAGCATACACTTGGGAGAATTTCAATTATAAAAAAAAAATTGACACCTTTTTTTTCTTTTCTTCTCTTATTTTCTCATTCTTTATTATATATGCATGGAACCGGCAGTACGATAAGGCTGAATATGTGCTCAATAAACGAGTTTTTAAGTTAAAAAAACCCCGAGAGCTTCTGTCGCCAGTAATAGCATACAATTATAAGGAATGCGTATGTGTCGAGCTTCTTTTCATTCAGCACAAAGATCGTCATGTGGAGTACAGACAATGTTAATTGCATGGCAGATAATTATTGTTTGATGACGGTAGAACAACACTTCTATGGGTTATTGAGGATTATTCCCGAGATTATCATCTCATTGGCAGGAATAATACTTTTTGAAAATAATAAAATACTTATTGCTGTTTTGATCTTGCTAATGAAATGAAATACTTGTATGTACATGTCTCATGACTCAAAAGAGAATCAATCAACTGTGTAATTAGAAAAGTCATTGGTCGTAAAATGGTCGGAAGCCTTTGAATATATCTTGAATAACTACTTATGGGGTCAGAGCACTGTTTTTTATTTTTGGTTGTTAATTTATGAGATGAGGAGCTATTGAGCAGTGGTGGATAAGCAATGGAATATTTGAAGTTTATTAAATTTTTATAGCAGTGTTTCTCAAACCTTTTTTGGTACACGGCACAGTTTTATACATAAACAGTTTTGCGGCACACTAAATGATTTTCATGACCTTTTTTGAAGTTACAAAACGTGAAAATATAGGGTCAATTTTAACGGCAAACTAGTGTACCGCGGTACACGGTTTGAGAACCACTGGTATTTAGTGTATCATTAGCATCCAATCGACTTCGCTTGGTTCTTCCTACTGTTTATAGATTGCAGGGGTGTCCTTTTAGAATCTAGTCAGATTATTGGATTTCATGTCCCTCCAAAAATGACCATTTTAGGCACATACTTTGAAATATGAAAGCTTGAGGATCGTTCTTCAAGGTGTCTTAAATTTTCCACGCTGGACAGTGTGCAGCGGCTTCTAAAGGTTCATTCTTAATTGTTTGAAAAACTTTTTTACTCGAATAGCACAAATTGGTTAATATAATAGAAATTTGGCGTTAAGTCAACATGACCCTGGTATGGTGCTGGTTTAGTTTTAAATCCAGCACAATGCCAGAGTCACATCAGCTCGTTGCCGGATTTCTGATCGATTAACCGACTTGTGCTATTAAGGTTAACTGCACTCCGATATAAAGCTACGTGAAACCACATACAACTGCTTTTTTATGACCAATATAGGTAGCAGTGATGAATAGACCCGAACTTGATAGACAAAACCAACGAAAAAAACTGTAAATGACTCAATTTGCGATATCACGCTATTCCTAATCAAACGAATAACAATATTGTTCGTGAGAATCGAACACTGTCATATTTCGTGTATTATACTTAAAAAATCATATCACGACTTGGATATATCCATAAAAAATTTGTCAAAACAATATCTAATTCCCTAACCATCGCAACAAACAAGTTATTGAATAATTTCCCAAAAAAATCTATGATTCCAGAACTTCTGAATGATGCATCGTTTAAAATATTATATTAAGATTCATTATTGTATTGTTTTTTTTTTGTCATATGACATTCAGTAAGGTCAGCAAGAATTTGCGGTTATGTACTGTATTCAATCGTGCTTGTCTGCAGACTTAATTCTAATGGATTTTGTCAGATAAGTAAACAACGATGACATTCATATTGGATGTATAGAATTATTGGTAAATAGAGTTTGATGAGTCATTTGTGTGGTCTTTTGCTGGCTAGTTCTGAAATGTGAAAATTTCTGAAAGATAATCTTTAAAAATACTTTGTTTTTGAACACAAAAGTCAATTGTTTATTTATCAATTATTTACGTAAGTAACAGATAATGTACAATTCATTTACAATATTTTTTTCATTCTTCAATATCTCACTGGATATTCAACTCTTAATTACATATTATTTATACTTGTTAATTCTGATTCATGTTCCATTTTAGATACATTTAACTTGAAAATGTTATGGAACATACAAAATATTTGTTAGATAACAAAATTACCAGTGTGGATGAATTTAAAAGGTCAGCAAAGCAATGACTTTTGAGCTATCTATACTGGTTCTTTTAAGTTTTTGTTGTTGTGATGTAAAAATGTTTTGTTTTTATTTGTTTCAAATAACTGAAATGTTATATATTTCTTAAGTTACGTCAGAGTTCAATGAATATTTTAAAATTTGCATTTTTTTGCTTATTTCTTAAATAAAAGTGTTTTTTTTTATCATATTGATTGGTTTGGATTATTTTAATGTCAATTTCGTGATTGTTTTTTTTATTATTTTAATATTTATAATCTCAATATTTTATGGAATTAGAAAAAAATGTGAAATGATTTAGTGACTGATTCAATAATGCTTTTACTAAGTTATTAGGAGAGTTTTAAAAATGAATTAACTTTAATAAATTTCCTCACATTTAAAATAAAAATTAAAATTGAAGAAGAATTGAAAATTTTGGATTTTTTTTAAAATAAACGGAAATTTTAAAAATGTTATTTTTTTAAATTGACTGTTTTTTTTAAAAAATTCAAATATAAAAACTTGATTTTTAAAAAAAAAATTGAAATTATGAAAAAGTTCCAAATGTTAAAGATATTGAAAAACTTATAAAAAAAAGTTTGGAGGGTTAAAAAAATCAAATTTTTTAAAAATTTATGAAAAAGTTTGAAAGGGTAAAAAATCAAAATTTAAATAAACTTTTTACTATAAAATGCAGTTTTTTAAAAATAATTATTTCAATTGATTTAGAATTTTAAATCTTATTTTCTTCAAATCTGTCCCTAAACTTCAAGAATAAAGTCACTAAATTCACAACTCATTTTCTAATATTTTACAAATTTATTTAAATGACATTTGAGAACACTTCGGTGTATGATAATTTTTATTTTTACCGTGTATTAATAAAATTGTGACGAAAACAAAGAAAAAAAATGTTGCAAGTTTAAAAAAAGAAATAAATTAAATTTTACATGAAAAAAATCGCAAAGACAAATTTTTTTAAATGCAAAAATTTATGGCTAATAAATTTTTAAAAAAAATAAAATAAGAAAGCTATGAATGAAAATTGTCTTACATACATACATACAAGATTTTAATGTTGATACAATAAAAAATATTAAGTTGATAAAAATATGACGTGCTCATGTCTTCCAGATTTTATTATACAAATTGCTTAAGTAAAATGCAAAATGTAGAAAGTTATATGACTTATTCATCTAAGATATCAAACTAGCATTGCACGAAGCTTTCATTTCCTTCACCGCGAGGTGCTTGCACTTCCCATTGCTGAATAATTTTCTTGTCAGGGGTGCAGCTTACATTTTTCTGAGGGTGGGGACTTAAATTTGCTTTTTTATTGATATGTAAGAAACAAACTGCAACTAGGGATGTATGGCTGGATTTATATGACCTTAACCAACTTAAGGAATCAGAAGAAACCCCTAGCTCCACCCCCGTCCTCTGTCATGTTAATAAAAAAATATAAAAATATTTCCATAGAGCTCAAAAGTTTAGAAATGCATAAAAGTCACGTAAATAATTTCAAAACTTCACAAAACGATAAAAATTTCCCTCTTGTGACGTAATTCAGATAATTTATTTCCCCGTTCTTCATGTCACGGTGATGATAAAGAAAATTACGAAAGTGAAAAATCATTCGAGGATGAAATATGCAGCATGCAATCAAAAGAAAAGCTCTTGCATATTATTAAATTTTTGATGCAAAAATAAGAAAAGAATATTAAATTTGCATCACACACATGAATAAAATGATGATAAAGGAACAGGAAATTGCAGAACTGTGCAAGTTTGTTTTTGTATCTGGAGCTTTGAGAAATGTAATGACATACTCTAGAGCTTTTTTTGCAGGAAATTTTATAAACTATGAGAATGTTGTCATGGAGATTGATTTATGTGCTTACTTCACACCATTTTAATATGATTTTATTAGAACGAAGGATCGTTGCTCAGAGATTTTTTGAAGATTTGGAAGAGAATTCTTTCCAAGAATAATTTCTGGCTACACTTCCATGTTGGAGTAATTCTTTTGCACGAAAAACAAAGTGAATCATTCGAGCATATTTATCGCTGGGATCAAAATTGGCAAGCTATGAATTACAATCAATTAAGCACCATCTAAGGGAGGCAATGGATTACAATTGATCTGTACGGCCAGAGAAGTAAGCAAGGAAGTAAATTTTCAAAACTGTGTGCCGTTGAAATTTTTTGGAAATCACGTGAGCTTCATGCTGTTTGCGACATTGGTCATGACTTACCCTTAAGGTGTGCGGTGGCTCAAAACCTTTGGACAACAAAGATATTTACCGATAGAGGTTTTTAAATATACGGCTTCAATAGTTTAAGACAGTACTTCAGAAACTATGCACCATGGCACTCCAATGTGTCGTAATAGCAAAGTCACAAAAGTTTGAGTTCCACTAGTCTAAAATGTATAACAGCACATAGCTTATGTAACCAAAAAATCACCATTTTCATCTTACTGTCCACTTTTTCCTCACATTTCAATTAAAGTATTTATTTCAAGTCCTTTTAAGATTCACTTCAAAAATTCTCAAAGGGAATGTTTTCTGTCTAGACTTAAGAATTTGTATTCAATGCATCCTTTTGCAGTCGAACAAGGATAAAATTCTTTGATTGAGAGTTGCAAAATTAAATAAAATGAAGGATTGAAAAGGAAGCAGTTAAAGTTTTTAAAGGAAAAAATTAAATAACAATCTTTCTTACTGCTGAAACTTTGGGTGAATCAATGGCTATTTATAAGTGCTTTGCAGGCTTCCTATTTTTTAAAATCATTATATTCTTTGTTGATAAAATAAAAATTTTGTAAACCATAAGTACACTTATTGCCAATAGCCAGTTTAGAGCCTCTGTGATGTAATAGGTAAGAGCTTTTCTCAAGTTTGAATTGGCAACTTGAAGGTCGTTGGTTCAAATCCTACAATGCAAAAATGTATTCATTTATGGAAGTTTAAACACTTCGACTGCTTAATTAACGAGTTGTTGACTATATAAGAGCTCTAGGCAATATTAAACTAAGGAACGGACCAGGAACTTAAAGTTTCGTGCTAACTTCATGTAAAAATTATTTTCCCTAATTACAACTTTCCCAATGAATTTTCTTCAACATTATTTTTTGCAATAAAAAAAATCACCTTCTTTATAATTAATGAAAGCAGCATGAATGCAGTTGCACAGTGTGAATGCAAAAAGTTCATTTAGCACCTGACTGAGTGAGAAAAAACTTTTACGAAATGAAAAAGTTCAATTTAATTAAACCAAGCACAAAAAAAATTATTCCAGAGAATAAAAAAAAGCTATTGACGACTGCTTAAAGCAATCAAATAAAAATTGGATGAACATGGACATGAAGCACGAACATACTTTTTACCACCGAGTATCAGTACAACACTTTACTGTTGGATTAAACTTGTTACATTTTTGAATGAATTTCGTAGATAACGTGTTGGTCGATAAAGTTCACTGGCATAACTTCCTCCATTAAAGTTGATATTTACATATGATCCATCAGAATGCGGAAGTGTCTCACCAGCATTCAATTGATGATATGGATATTGACCTTGATTCTCACTCAATCCGAATCGCTCGAAAGCATAAGGTGATGCCCCTCTAAATTTATAGAAAGACGTTACTGGATGATTATATGCTGATGATGTTGGTGGGAACGAGAAGGGTGCATTTGATGGTGTTGGTGGGATAAATGATGCAGGCACTGGTTGTGGTTGTGGTATCGATTGATATAAATCAGATTTTGTTAGATATTGTGATGGCAAGACATTATATGAATATGAATAATTTGGCTTTTGAACTGGAAGTGCTACTGAATAAGCAGCTGGTGATGCTGATGGATTACCAAATTGATATCCTGATGGGGATGTTGGAGCGACATTTTGGAATGTATATGGAGAGAGTGAATTTTGACCATAATTTGGAATTGAATGGAATCCAGTTGGATTAAAGGAATAAGTAGGTGCTGGTTGGACCACATTACCGATTCTTAAAATTCTTGTATTTATTTCGTAGGCATTGACATTTTTTAGGAAGAACCGATGGAATCTTGATGACACAAAGTAAATGGCATTTGGATCGTGTTTTGATGTCTTGAAATCAGCGACGAACTGAAGAGCTTCATAGTCGTAGGCAAGTACTCTGGAAAGAAGGATTAAATAACTTAGTAAGTTGTAAAGAATGAGTTTTTAATGGTTTAATGTTTGAAAATTCGAGCACCAATTTAAAATCCTTTCTTGAATAATGCTCAAGATTCCAAAGAAAACAACGTCATTTTCTCACGACATTGAGTCTCGTGTGGGTTTTATAATTACTTCAACACAAAGACCGTACATCTGATAAACAATCGTGACATTTGGATGTCTAAAAATACTATTCTACAATTAAAAAGCAATTTAATGAATGGAAATTCCTCCTTGAAATCCTTAACTGTCTTCTTGTTAAAACAAAACTTAATTATCACATTTATTGTTCCTACATACAGATAATTAATTCATGACGAATCCTTCAATGCAATGTCGGCAAAATAAATCAAAATAAATTAATTTAATTATTTGCTGTATAAGACTTGATATAAATTCATCATGTGCTCAAAATAATAAAAATATTTTCTACCCAACTCGCATTTTATTTTATTTACTTCCTTTCTACCTTATCAAAACAACAGAAATCTTTAAGAACAAAACGTGTATAAATGCTCATTATTTATCCATTACCAATTCATGTGTGGAGGTTCTTTGATTTTTAAGTTACAGGAAAAAATTTCAAGGGGGAACTCTTAGTGTAAAATTGTTGACCACCAGTAAAATTTCTGTTTTATTAAAAAAAATTTAAAAACAATCGAAATAATGGAATTGTTTAAAAAATATTTGGACTATTTTTTACACCAAGTTGTTATCCCCCTGTAAATTATTAGTCCTACCTCTCATCTTTAAAATGTTTGAATATTAATTTTTTTATTTTTTTGCAACTCTTGAAAAATCTTAAACCACCCCTCTCTCCTAATACCCCCTTAACAGTCTTCCTTTCCCCCCTAACACCCCCTTAACAGTCTTCCTTTCAAAAAACAAGACGTAATTGATGAACGACCCCCTCAAATATATTTCGCATTTTCCTTTCTCTTCACTTACCTCTGCTCATTTGTTCTCGGATTGAATTGTGCGATTGCTGTTTCCGTGAATGGAGCGAAGAAAATATCACCGCCATATGGACTTGCTCCCAAGCCAATACCTTGAGATGATTTCTTGCCAACCAATTTTACAGGCAAATCTTTTCCAACAGGTAATGGACCTGCACGTAATGCTGCTGTTGAGATTGAAAACAGTCTGGAAACGACATAAATTGATTTATTTTCTTATTATTGTATGGATGTAGAAGTGGATGTGTGAGTTCACGAGGAAAAAAGGTTGAGGAACTTTTTTTAGAGGATTTTTTTATGCGTGGGTGTCACGATTGTGTTGTAAGTTACTATTTTTTGTGTGTGAATGATTTATACAAAGTTGTCAGCTGTAATTTTAACATGCATGAATGTTTTATAGCCTTAGAATTTTTTTCAAAAATTTCTAGAATAATTTTGTTCGACATTAATAACTTATAAATGTGAAAAAAAATACAAAAAGGATTACAAGAGCGAAAACAAATCACGCGATTTAATATTTAAAGACTTATTTTTCCTCCAGTTCCTTAATGGCATTTTAATGAAAAAAATGCACTTCAATTAAAATATTTTTTGCCATCAATCAAAAGAAATTAAGGTTGCATGAATGTCATTTATGGCAGCTAATTAAAAAAAATTTTTATGTCATTTAAATGGTCGGTTGTTTTACTTTTTACAGCAAGGGATGTAATCGGGTCAAGTTCTTTATTTTCAGAAATTAAATCTAGTAGCTTATGAACCTAGAAACTACATAGAAGCTTATAAATCTAGGAGGTAGTGCCATATTATCTTAAAAGCTAGTAGCTAGTAAATTATAAGCTAAGTAGCTAGTAGCTTATAAACCTAGTAACTAGGAAAATTTAAATAAAGGAGCTAGTAGCATATAAATCCAATAGCCAGGAGTTTACAACCTAGTAGCTGGTAGCTAGTAAAAAACGCAAACTTAGTAGCTTTAAGCTTTTAAAGCTGGGAGCAAGTAAAATCTAACCTAACACCTAATATTTAATAAATTACGTAATGAATCGTTAAAAATCAATAAACCATTAAGAAATATAAGCCTGGACAACACAAAAGTGAGGAGCCAGTTCTACAAAAATTAACTTGAATTCATTAAGAACGTCTTATTAAGGAGTAGGTCAAAGTGTACCTAAATCCAGTTTAGAGCCCAAAGTAAGGACCAGTGTCAAGCCCTTGAGTCCTAATTAAAAAGACTAAAAGTGTTCTGAATGTAGCTTGAAGTTTTCCTCAAAAATTGAAAGCAAGCTCGCAAAACGTCAACAATAAATAAACAAAATCTCGTCCTTGACCCAAAATAAAAACTCTATTTAAATTCAAGATAAAGCCAACAAAACAAACACTTTCCTCGAGTCATGCTGTCACTCTCTACAAAAATAAACATAATTCATACCTGTCAGTAGCCAGCGGTTGGAAATAAACCGTACTAGATTCCTCGTCAAAAGCCAAACCAACAACGCCATCGGACAGATTAAAACGATCATTTCTGGTTGTGTATGGAAAAAAGCAAAGATTTATTGAAATGAAAAAAATATTATGAAAATCAAACGTACCCGATTCTTGACGTGGCAAAGGCATCATCTGCATACATTGATGGATGGCTGAAATGAGAAATTGGAAAAGTTTAGTCACATAAATAAAATAAGTCATCCATGGAACAACCCACGTAACCAAAGTATTCCACACATTTTCCATTGACATAGATGGAATATTTATGTACTTTCCCTAAAACAGTACACTATGTATCATTTATGTATTACATACATGAAATATCCATGTATAGTCCATGAGTAATACATCTATGTAGCACTTTAAAAATCTGGCCATTCAGACAATTAAGAACATTTTTTGCTGCATTTTAGTTTTTTAAGTTATTTGTTTACAATGTGAAAAATGTGTTTTAAAAATTGTTGTGAAGTGAAAATATAATTTAAACGCATAATTTAGATGCGTAAATAATTAAAAGGAGCAAGAAATATTGTATGGTGAGTAATTATAGGGAAGATAGTAAAACATCGATTAATAAGGTAAGAAAAAAATATTAATTTTAAAGTGTAAAATGTCTACGATGTTTTAAACATCTAATATATTAATCATTCTTTCTTGTTTCTTTTCTGTCTATTTTTAGGTATAATTTTGTAAAGATATTCCAGGAAATTAATTTTTTTTTGAGTTACAGTGATAAGTTTTTTCTGTGTAAATTGGCCTTTTTTAATGTTGTGAGTTTAAAATTATGTTGATTTTTTAATAAATAAAGAGTTCGACATAAATTAGTTAAACTATAATCATGAATATGTGCATTAATTAATAAAAATCCAGCATTTTTTTATTTCAGGCGGTTCAATCCATTTATAGTACACAAAATAGTACAAATGTACTACATTAATGCACTAAACATGTATAGTACACAAAATCGCACAAATGTATCACATCAATGTACTATACATGGAACGTCCCCAAAATCGTACATTATATCATCCATCTCCTTAGGACAGTATCGTTCCATGTATCATCCATGGATGATACGCATGGACTATACATGGAATATTTTCGCGTAATACATGTTTCGTCCATCTATGGGATTTTGGTTACGTGGGAAGAATAAAGTTTCTATTCGAAGAATTGGATTCATCACACGTGTTTGTGCTTATTGACGATTTGAAGTGCCACTTTGGGTCTTTATTCTTCTTCCAGCTCCATTTGTTTTCATTGCACCATATGCTAGATTCTCTCATCATCTTACCTTAATCGCCAAGTCAAATCACGTCCCGAATCATACACAACAAGGGCTGGAAAAAAAAATTGACAATAAATAATAAAGATGATATGGAATTTATTTGTTCAGATTATCTTAATGAATTGAGTGGAAGATAAAAAAATTACAGAAGTCCTCGTGTTATTGATCGAGGGACTTAAGCGCATTTTTGTGTTAGCGATCAGTATATGATTATCTATTTATTTTGCGTTCATTTACAGATCATTAGAAGATCATCAATTAGCAAATATTTATAATGAATGCTTATATATAAAGGCTTTATTATTTAACGGTAAATAAACAATTTGAAATTTTCCCGCTAAAAGTTGCACTACGAAAACATTACTTATTATTTGAGATTCAAATTTTCTAACGGTCAGTAAGTTTCTGAAAGCTTCCCGCCAAAAGATACACAAAAAATCATTAATTATAGTAAATTTAACAATTTAATATCTTTCATTCTCATATATAAATTGTTTATCATTTAACGGTTTTCTGAAGTTCAAATTTTGTAAAGGTCGTATGCATTTGAAAGTATGTTGCCAAAAATTGCAGTAAAAGCATTAATTATAGTATAAATAACAGTCTGTTGCAAAAAAAAATTTCATATAAAAAGGCTTGGTAATTTAACGGTTTTTTGAAATTCAAATTATTAGTCTGACAGTGTAGAAGTTCCCATCAAATGTTCGGATAGTGTAGAAGTTCGAAGTGTAGAATTCTAATTTTTTTAGAAAATTCATTAATTATAGCATAAAAACACTGTTTTAAGATTTTTAAATGTCCGGCAGGCCAATAACTCGATATAACGGAACTAATGCAAAAAACTAGAACTCTCTACGATGTCTAGATTAAAAGTTTTTCTTAGCGGCCGACCAGCCGACCAGCCGAACATAGTGCATGATTAAGCTACCTTTTTGTATACAAGTATACAAAAATGCGCTAAAAATAAACTAGCTATTGATGTGTTGTTGGATGATAAAAAAGAGGAATGTGAGGGAATTACTTTGAATTTGCTGATAAATGTTGGTGATTTGTCAGGTTCTCTTTGTGGGGTTTATTGCTGGTAATCATGATTTTTTTTTTGAGAATCATGCAATTATTTATGAGGATTTAGGAACTGTTTGTATGGATTACCAATTGTTAAGGGGCGAACAAAGCATGAGCATATCCAAATTAGGGGTTTCAATATTGGGATTAAAATGTACTGAATCCCGAGTCTGATCCCGGAATCATAAACATTTCAATGCCGGGATTGAAAACACTGGTCCAAATATTCATAATTGGACTACAGAGTTACAAACATGTGCGTAGTCAGGGAGTGAGGGAACGGATTTGGGGGCTCCTCAAATTGCATTCTCCGACCCTCAGCACAATACTTGACATCTTGGCAGAGTATGAATAGTGCCACAATCAACTATCGATATTGGCTAAATCAAAGGATCCGAAACCTTGTAACTGAGTGCTCCCATTTTTGAGCCACGGCACACCTGAAGTATAAGCCATGACCGAAGTCGCACACATTTTGTGACTCGTGTCAGTTTCAAAAATTTTCAACGGCACACACTAGTGTTTGGACAACACTGCTTTAACGCAAGCCATAAAGGAGGAAAAGCTGCTATGTTGAGTCTATTGAAAATTCTTTCAAGCTCTAAACTCCCTAAAGCTTCAAAAAAACTGTCTAAAGGAACTAATTCACCTAGATCGGATTTACTAGGCGTCTTCGGGAACGTTTAACTAGCTTCAGCAGCTAAAATCAGATAAAATATGTCACACACAGGTTTAAAAAAATTAAATTTTCTTAAATCCAATCTGATTATCTTACGCATGTTAGTGCCATAAATCCTTCACATTTTTATGTAATTTGCCATAAAATCACAAACAACAGATTTTGCAACATTACGTGTGATAAAAATTCAATTTATTTTGAAAAATGATAGACTTCCTCTAGTAGACCTAGTAAGAAATAAATATATTGTGGATATCATGTGCGATGGACTCCACTATCAGTGACAGCTTCCTATAAAATATCTCTAAAATTCATCACACAAACTCTCAAAATAAATCCATCTTAATCAAATAAACTAAAACTTTTTCATAGACTTGATTAAATTATTCAACATAAAAAATTTAAGAAACAGAAGCATTTTAATCAAATTGTAAGTTTTTTTTTTTTTTTTTTTTTTTTATAATAATTGATTCATTTTATTGTATTTTAGTATAAACTATTAATACAAAATATACAAGATGTAAATAAGAAGCTTAAGTACTATAACGTTACATATCACACAAGTTCCCTTGAGCTGTATTTGTCTTAAACTTTTCTCTTTTCAATTTTCTTGTTCCTCATTTTTCTCATTTTAGTATTTAAAGTTTCTTTTTTTTCTTCAAGAACGAGAACAAAATGCCCGAAGGACAACAGAAATAAAAGCAATTCAGACATTGCACTCGACTGTGTATACATGTTGTATGTTGTGTCAAAGGAAGAAGAAATATAAAAAGTGCTTTCGGTCGAATCACCGTCCATTTTATGGAGAAAATTTTTTTTTATTGCAAGAAAGCAATTTTCAGGTTTTCTCGTTTTTCATTTCCTCTATTCGTGTTCGGTACACAAGGCAAAAAAAAAGTCTCATGCACGAAATGATAAATGGTTGAGGAAGAGAAGAGCAGGAAAAAAAAAGTTTTAAAAAAGCTATTAAAAGATTTATTTGAAACTGAACGAAAAGACGTAGTGTGTTGGAGCTTTAAATCTTAACCGTGGTAAGCAATAGTTGTAGAACAAGGATGAGAAAAGTATTGGATTTGATTTTAAATTATTGGGAATGTTGGGAATGTATTTTAAATTCATTTGATAGTTTTTGCTTCTTTTATTGTAATTTAACATGTGTTATTCTCAGTTATTCAGCTTTTTAATGGGGATTGTTGCTGTATTTTTATGCATTTGGGTACCTAACTCTGTATAGTGATTGCCAAGACGCTTGGCTGATTTTTTTCATAATATCTCTAAAGCTGTAGCTCAAATTCTGCCAATTTCAAATTCGTACAAGCTTTAAGAAAGGAAAAATATCGACATGCAGCAGGGGCGTAGCCAAAAGGGTTGGAGGTCCTTAGTTGCCCGGGCACCCCCTAGAAAAATCCTGGCTTTGCCCCTGACGTGCAGTTGGGAGATTTTCACAGAATGGATAACAGCATTTGATGTAAGGATTCGGGAGTTCTCAAACATTTTAGGTTTCTGAGCAGTATTTTTCACTGAATAGAAGTGCTCCGTGATGCATGGTTTGAGAACGACTGGTATAATTGATAGGGTTAAGATTCAAAAAGCAGATCCAGCAGCGTTGACAATAATTCAAGAATGTGGCTTTAATTTCTAAATGTCAACTGATAATTCAATTTCATATGATTAGCATCATCCCACAGTTCCCATCTTATCAACCAATAACTCAGTTCCACATCAAAAAACAAAATCTCAACAAAAGAAACGAGCAAGTTTCTACTTTTCGTTAATTTGATAATGATTGAATGTGTGCTTATGACTAGGATAATAGATCTTAAATTCCAATGGTAAAGAAATCTTCAAATTGTAGAACTTTCCTCAACTATCATTTTCACAAACAAGTCCTTAAGCAATAATGCTGTATTGTGGAAATTTTCCTGATATCCGTAGAACTTCCCATTATCTTTTGCACATGAAACTTTACTATCTTACATACAGGAACGAATATAGAAAATCCATAACTTATATAACAAATTTTATAGTATCATTTTCAACAATTCATAAAGTTATTTTGTAGGAAGAGATGGAAACTTTTGGAAGTAGTTTTATATGATTGTTATTAAAGAGAATATTGGTCATTTTGAGATACTTCTAAAAGGAAGTCCTAGGGAGGTGCGATAGTGTGTAAATATTAATAACGATATATCATTAAATACTCGTATTGTAATTCTGAGTTAAAATGGCTCAATGGCTTAATTGTTTTATGCTTTGCGACCAAATTACTGTGACGTTGATGCAGCGAACATGTGTTCGAATCTTAGCATGACAGAACTTTAACTTGCGAGTTTTTTGAAGCATATGCAACACCAACTTAGATAAAATATTATCGTCGAAGTATGAGACGGTCCACAGCTCCCCTGGAGGCTAGAAGCCAGTTTCTAATGCTACCTTACCCTCGAATCGAAAATTAAACTCTAGTCAAACTGTTACAATGGTTTGTTCCCCGAGTCTCCATAGAAAATATCATCTGCTGTATTCTTGCATAACTGTGCTCCTCAAAAATTCGAGAAAAATTCAAAATTCATAAAAATTTAACAAGCTCAAAAATAAAGAGCATAACTCCTTCCAAACTCAAGTTTCACCTCCCGAATAAACAAACATCCTTTTAATATCCTTTAAAACCATCCTGTTCTGGTTATTCTTTCCACCATGACTTTGTTACCACTTGTAAATGGTCGAGCAACATGAAAGCTTATCCATCATGCTCGTTCATTGTCTACATAAAATGACAATAAAAGAAAGAGGAAGAAAGCAAAATAGAGCAAACTGTTTACTCCAATAAATATAAAAATCAATAAGCTAGTTATCTGGGAAAATGTTGGTGAAATGTCGGTTAAAGGAAATAAAATAAAATGAAAATTTCATAAAGTCGGAATGATCTTTTTCTCCAGTTATTTCACATATGTTGTTATCAATTTTATAAAGTATAGAAATAGAAATTATTGTAGATGGAAAGGAAGCAGTGATGTGTATCAATTTTACATGAATGGATGTGAGGAATTGAAAGGAATAAAAATTGATAACCCATAGCATGAGCAAGGATTTTTTCTTTATTTAACAGAGTATATGCATTCATGAGGAGAATGAGACCATGAAGGTATGGAAAGCTTTTCATAAGGAAAGTGCTCATTCATTGTCCCTTTTTTGCTCTGGAAGTTTTCACGTTTAACATGGAAAATTCTACACTTATTCAGTGCTGAAGCAAGGGATGCGGTTCTTGGGAATGGATTAAAGCACATAAACTTAAGAAATATATTGCATCAAATCTCAGTTCGTCGACAAAATAATAGATATTGAAAACTGCTATGCAGCAGCTAAGTTTTATGAACTTTAAACCAACTATCGAGCGGTACAAGGCTACAAAGAGACTTCATTTGCTTAATGTATGTAGAATTGGTTGACTAGACTCCAGTCAGTGAACAATAACTTTTTTATAATGTTTTGCGATAAGCATGACCACCTGATGAAGACTTAGCTCCTTTTGTGTGCAACTCAGTTAAATTGATGATTTGGTCATATTTTGACAACAAAATATGAAGTTTATAGTAGTGTGCTGCTTACAATTATTTAAGTAATACGCACGTAAAAGTATTGCAGCGAATAAGGTATGTCTGAAGCCTGGGCCTGATATCTCCGCTACGGGTACAGAACGGTATGGTACGGTAAGATACGGTAAGGTACGGTAAGGTACGGTAAGGTACGGTAAGGTACGGTAAGGTACGGTAAGGTACGGTAAGGTACGGTAAGGTACGGTATAGGTAAACCACTAGTACGGCATATAGTGCACCTGGGATGGTACAGTGGTGTATTTATACCGTACTGATGTACCATCTTACCGTACCAGTGGTGTACCTTACCATATCATACCGTACCGTACAAGTAGCGGAAAAATCAGGCTAAACTCTATCGTTCAAAACCTTCTTTTAGACTACATAAAAAAGCTTCAACTTCAATTTCATCCCAAGATCCTAATCTCTGTTCCCTTCTCTTTAGCAACAAACTCTCATACTCTCCCACTGCTTCCATTCTTAATCATCATCCGATTTCCATATGAAAATTATTCACAATGAAAATTACAGCGTTGAAAGCTTTTAAAGCGATTTTTTCATGCTCATTTTAGTTTCATTGGCTGCGATAAATTATAGAAGAAGAATTGAAATAAAAAAAAAAGGTCGTTATTTCAAATGCATGGGATAAATTGTAATTTATTTGAAATATTTTTGCAGGGGGGAAATAAAAGAAAAATAAAGTTTAGCTGAAAGACAATTTTGTTTCCTTCCTGAATTTGATAAATATGTGGAGTGGATATTGCTGAATTGCGCGACCTATTTCTTGCAAAATGTGGAATTTATGCGTATCCGCAAATGGATTTTATTCCCCAATTTAAAATAAATATTGAGACATATGTGGAAATGGGGATATGTGCTGTATAATCCTTGAGTATAAAAACAGTGAGTAATGTTCCAATTTCGGTTTGAGATGGAATATTGAAATTTATTGCACCCAGGATATGGAATTGCTGGATATTTTAGAATCCAGATCCTCAAAATATTTATTCAGGCTCCAAAATTCATGTTAAATGTAAAGCAATCTTATAATATCTTCATAAATTTTCTCAGAAATCATAAATTCAGATATCAATCAACATATCAGTAATGCCAATACTGTTATTAATTTTCTAAAGAATTTTCCAAATTAATCAAGCATCTCAAATGAAGCTTGCAAACTTCAATTACAATCAATTCAATATCGAACATGAGAAAAGCTCTTGATTTACATTGTTTTAAGAAAATAAATTCTGTGGAAAGCAATTGAAGCTTTTTAAGTCCCAATTGAGGTTCTTCTGTGTCATTTAATTTTCTCACGAGTGTGCTTTGAATATGGGTTGGGTTTAATTACATGGAATTGAAGGCATTGATAGCTTGACACATCTGACAATTAAATTTCTACTTAATACTGCTGACTGAAAGTCAATGTGACATGAAAATAAAAGTTCCTTTATCAAATCAAATTCTGTTCTAATTCCACATACACATCCGTACCAACAATTAAGTAAAAGTTAACTTTTCATCAACCTTTAACCCAGTGATGTCCAATCTAATTGCCGCGGCACAATATTGTGTCGTTAAAAATTCAGAAAAGTCCACGAACCATATGCCGTGAGCGGATTTGGTGATGACTTATCACCAAAGTGTTCCAGAGTATAAAAAAGTTGAACACTCCTGATGTAACTCTACAGCACCGTGTAAACTTAATCATTTCCACTCACAATCAATAAAAATAATGAATTTTAATGACGACAAAATGTTACCTGGCTCAACGGTGTCACTTATGTAAACAACAGCATCATCACAATTATTTTCAGGCTTTGATGTCGTCTCATCGATAATGATGTTTGTGAAGAGGGAATCCTTGCGTACAACCTCTTTTGGGAAATCAATTCTAGTCGGAGATGAAAAGGGTTAATGGGATAGAATAAAAGAGGAGATTATGTCATATTTACCTTCTAACAACCTCATCCGTGTTTAAGTCATAGATGAGGATTTTTGGTGGACACGTATTTTCGAAATCCTCGAGAGATCTTGAAACACCGGCATCAACAGCCCAAAGCCGATTACATGAGTCAATTTTCAAACGATATACAGAAATGAGACCGATATCACTGCAATTGTACTGCTTGAGGCCAGCTTGGTGGTGCGACCAATCAGGATAAGCCTGTGAATAAAATCAATTTTGAGTATGAATGGCTGCATAAGTGCGAGGAGAAAATTATTTTTCAGAATTAATTTAATTAACATATTTTCTGATATTATCGTGGGTTGAGGCAAGAATTTTTGTAATTATGGCTTTTGGAAAATACAATGGAAGAAATTTCTTTTCATAGTCTGAAATTGTAATCCTCATTTTGTGGGGAATTGCTGAAGGCAAAATTAATTTTTTAATTACATTGCGCGCTATTGTGTATAAATTGATAATTGGGATGCTTTAAATAATTTAACCCGAGCATCACACAGCTAGAACATCCAATATTGTATCATCATCTTACCTAAACATTAGTAGCTCCTATAAATTGTAATGCTTACCTTCAAAACAGGCGAATCTCCAACAGTATTTCTAGAAACTGAACTAATTGTAGCTGGCACACCAGAAAACAATCTTGGCGTTGCCATGAAAATTCTATCACTTCCTATCTCAAATCCAGTCGTTACAATCTTTTCAGGATCATAAAAGTTTTTATCATTAACTGGCCAATCATGTGGAAAATTGAAGTTGGATACAGTCCATTGTTTAATAATTTCAAGTGGTGGCTCGCCAACGCAATTTGTGTTGATAATTAACGATATTAAAGTCGTTATCCTAATGAGCTCTTTAAGTATCATATTCACTATTGTTTTGTAGCTGACTGTGTTGTTGTTCGTGTGTTAATGACGATGTCTGAAAAGAAAGATGGGATGAAAAAGGAAATTAATTAGGAGTTCAATTTGAAGGTCACGAGATATCTTAATTAATATTATATGTATAGGAAAATCATTAGTTTTTTGTTATACTCGACAATCGTTAGTAATAAAAAGGATATACTGTAATTAAATCTTAAGTAGTTGCTAACGTATGGAGGTGATATAAACATATTGTTGAAAATTTAATTATGTCGATTTGAAGTCGGATTGACAACAGAATTGATTATTTTAAGAATTGAGTCACAGACATGTAATTAAAGGCTAATTTTAACCAGAGGTCGAAGCGAACTTGGTTCGCTTCGCTAAAAATTCAACTTGCCAAAGTCGAACTGTAGCGAGAAAAAATTTTTTCTATTCGCCTTAGCGAACCATAGCGAACTCAATTTTATTTTTTTCGCTTTAGCGAACTATTAGCGAACTTAATTTTTCAAAGTTCGCTATAGCGAACTATTGGCGAACTATAATTTTTTGCAATTTTGTATGAAATTACATAGTTCACAAACGCAATCAGACATCTCTTAATATGAAGCCAAAAAAATTTTTCTAGTTCGCTATAGCGAACTTTGAAAAAATAAGTTCGCTAATAGTTCGCTAAAGTGAAAAAAATAAAATTGAGTTCGCTATAGTTCGCTAAGGCGAAAAGAAAAAAAAAATTCTCGCTACAGGTCAACTTTAGCAAGTTGAATTTTTAGCGAAGCGAGCTCGCTAAAAACTCGCTTCGCTATGCTCGCTTCGACCTCTGATTTTAACTTACTCAACTCTATCCAATTCTCTGACTTTCACCTACCCAAACTTGCCGGCTTCCTCCCTAACCCTACCTCCCATTCATCTCATTGTCAAACTTTTCAAGTCGCAGAACAATAAATTTTTGTTCATCATTTCGTGACTCAGACGCTACCACTCCGGACACATGTGTAATTTTGCTAGGAACGAATTAAAGTTTGAACTTTGTCTAATCTACCCGAACTCTTATCAAAGTCTAACCATAACCCTACTCGTGTTAGAGTCTTTCTAGATCTAGTTTTACCTTATCATTTCTATCTTAACCTTTTACTAGCAAAGAAGTACTAAAACAAGTCGGTTTCAATGGGAATCGAACCCACGACCTCAAAAGAGACGAATTCTGACCACTCGATCGGAGATCTCTGCCACTCGGCCACCGAGGTTCTTATCTCACTTCACATATTCGTACACATACACATATAACAAGTTTCAACGGGAGCCCTATGCTCAGGCCTATCTACTACAGATATGCTCTTTGAGCCATATCCACACTGCTCTATTACTCCTCACTAGACATTAAATCCAGTAATTTATTCATAGCTTAGACACAAGCAACTTTCATAGACACAAGCAACTTTCATAGACACAAGCAACTTCCATTTTAATAATGAATTTTCATATTCACACAAATTTTCAATTTTTGTGAATATATCTTTAAAGTTCAATTCTAATAGCTTCATATGTAAAGGCAATATTAAATTCCCGAAACTACTTATTATATGCATAATTAAATAAATTAACACTTGCTGGATATGCTTCAAAGTTCAAAACTTAATCCCTTAACATTTAAGTTTTTATATTCACAAAAGCTGCAACCATGAAAGTTGTAAGAAGTGCTTTTGAATTGAGTTTGAATATTCTCAAATTTTATGGAATTTATCAAGTAAATCCATCAATATCAAGCGATATTCGAGGAATATTGATGTTCACTTTTATTGTTCTTCAATTCCTTATTGCATCGCTTTATCGCTTCAGTGATGTTAGCGATCTGAATGAGTTTATCATCGGTGTAATTTACGTTATTTTTAGTGTAAACTTAACAATAAGATTGATTAATTTTATGACCAATCAGAAGGAGCTCATTGAGTTGATTGAGGAAATTGAGAAACTTGACAATGGCATTCATGCAAATGATATTAAGAATGAGAATGAGAAGATTCTTAAATTTCATAAATTACTTTTAACCTCCGATCTATCAATTGGATTCAACCTTACAATGTCAATTTTGATGTTCAGCAAGGAACAAATTTTTACAATCCCACTGCTTTATTATCCACAGTGTAAAGAAGCTTACTACCTGATGTTTGTCATTCATTATATTCAGATTTGTGGAATTGGATCCATTTCTTTTGGTAAGAAACTTATTTTAGGAGCTTTATTGTAAGTTCCTGCAATTCTTAATCATTTTAAATTATCAGGAGTAGAAATGATTCCAATCGTGGCTTTAATGAAGCTGAAGAACACTGTTACACATATTTGTGATTCATTGGATATGATTAAAAAGAAGAGAATTGAAGATTTGAGTGAGTGCGTCAAATTGCATTGCAAGGTTGTGAGGTAAAGTCATTGAAATCTTTAGATAAACTTAATTCTTTTGATTAAGTCAATAAAACATTCAAAACGCTATGCAGATCCATAAAAATTTAATCAACTCATCAAAATACAAACATTCATTATTTCCATCCCAGCTGCTCCAAAAACTTTCATAACATTAAACATTCATAGAATTACGAATCATTTTTTCATATTTCTCATAGTGTTATGTGTAAGCTGGAACATATCTTCGGACCATCATTTCTCATCCAGTCATCAATGATAAGCGCATTTCTTTGTATCTTAACATTTAAGATGGTTTCTGCCTCAATTGTCTATGATTTTAATGAATTCATCTACTATTTTGGATTCTTTCTTGTGATGATCTTGAAAGTAGCACTGCCATGTTATTTTGGACAGCAGGTGATAAATGAGAGTGAAAAGATTTTCCACGAAGTCTATGATTTGCCCTGGTACGAGAATAATTTAAAATTTCGCAGAAATATAATGATCATGATGGAAAGATGCCAGAATGAAATTGCATTCACAATTGAGGGATTTTATACCTTTGATTTTGTTCATTTATCAGAGGTTTGTATTGGATTTAATATTTGTTTATTTTACTAAGAGATTAATTGGATTTATTTACAGATTATCCAGCTTGCATATTCATTCTATTCAATGTTAAGGTCATTTGAAAACTAAAGAGTCAATATGTATTAAATTGTAAGAATTCATAGGATCGAGTAGACATGAAGCTATGGCTTGATATTCGGTGAATCACACATACTATGCTTCTTCACTAGAAATACTTTGTTTGAATCAAATCAGTTGTAGACAAAAACTTGAAATTTAAATTTAAATTTTTAAAATAAATTGTCACTTTAATTATAAAATATAATTCCAATAAATTTTGAAGACTATAATTAATAAACATTTGTTAGACGGACTTCAAAAATCTCACAATCAAATGACTCAACATGTAAATAAAAAAAGAGTTCATTTCCATTAATCAAGCGTCAACCATGAAAGTTGTAAGAAGTGCTTTTGAATTGAGTTTGAAAATTCTTAAATTCTATGGAATTTATCAAGTGAATCCATCAACATTGAGCGTCATTCGAGGATTATTGATGTTCAGTTTCATTGTTCTTCAATTTCTTATTGCATCGCTTTACCGCTTTAGTGATGTTAGCGATCTGAATAAGTTTATCGTCGGAGTAATTTACGTTATTTTTAGCTTGAATCTTGCAATCAAATTGATGAGTTTTGTGATGAATCAGAATGAAATAATTGATTTGATCGAAGAAATCGAAGCTCTTGACAATGGCATTGACACAAATAACATTAAGGATGAAAATGAGAAAATTCTCAAAATTAACACTTTACTAGTAACTTCAGAGATGTCCATTGGATTCAACCTATCATTGTCAATTCTGATGCTTAGTAATGAGCGAATTTTTACAATCCCAATGCTGTATTATCCAAAGTGCGATGAAGCTTACTACTTGTTGTTCGGTATTCATTTTCTACAAATTTACGGTCTCGGAACAATTTCTGTTGGTAATTTTGTTTTTTTTTTGTGAAATGTTATAATTATAAATGGAAAGATCTGAAAGTGTCGTGGACCCAGAGTCTAGTTTTTCATAACTTTCCAGTTTACAGATAAAGTCTTGATGTCCAGACGCAAATATAAGCAAAAAATAGACTAATTAAGGATAACCTTAATCGGCTTGTTTCACTAAAGTGGATTATCCTCGATTTCGGATTATCCACTTCAGTTTTTTGTAAATATCTTAAACTTTATGGGAGGTGTGGTATTTCTAATTTTGGATTATAATAGAGTGAAGTATGCCTGAAATTTCTGTATACTTTAAACTTTTGCTTTTCGTTAAGAAGTATTAATTATTCAATTTTCTAGCCAAATCTAGTAGATTAACTTCAATTTTTGCTATAATTCTCAAACTAGTGAAGATATAAAAATTCTAAGTATATGTTAATTTAAGTAGCAAAGTACTCTTGCTAGATCACACATTAGATCTCTTAATAAGCTTAAGCGTCTGGCGATATTTCCAAAAAACTGAAGTGTATAATCCGAAATCGAGGATAATCCACTTTAGTGAAACAGGCCGATTAAGATAAAGGTTATCTTGACCCTACCGAGATACATTTCCAAATTAAACTTGAATGTCATTCATTTATTAAAAATAAAAACGATTATTAGGTGTAGAAATGATTCCAATGGCAGCCATGATTAAACTGAGGAACACACTGGCACACATTTGCGAAGAACTGGATATGATCAAGCTTAAGAAAATTGAAGATTTGAGTAACTGTATTGATCTGCATTGCAAGGTTGAGAGGTAAAATATTAAAATATTGGCGTTTTACACCACACAAACTCTTGGTTCCTCAAATTAAATACACAATACAACGCTTTCCTATTTCATAAAAATTTAATCAACTCATCAAAATACAAACATTCATTATTTCCATCCCAGCTGCTCTAAAAACTTTCATAACATTAAACATTCATAGAATTACGAATCATTTTTTCATATTTCTCATAGTGTTATGTGTAAGCTGGAACACATCTTCGGACCATCATT